GATGTACTGCTGAATTTATACGACAACGAAATTAATACCTAGTCGAGTGTATAAAATTTTATAACTGGTCAATTTAGTCGCCATGAATAATTTTTCATGCGAGGGAATCATCGAATTACCCTATGCGCGTTATCGCTCGACATAATTCTTCACCTGGTAAAATCACACGAACGAAACAGCAAAAAATCCACGTATAATTACCAGCGATGATGTTCGATTTGACGCTTCTGTATTTGTGTACAAGACCAAGTCAATATTACACCGAATGCTCCTTCCTTTGGCCCCTTCCACTTTCTTGGCTCACGCGCTCTCTCATTCCCTTTCTCATTCTCGCGTTCATTATAATATTTCTCTTTCTCCCACGCCGCGCGCTCGTACGTAGCTCGTATATGTGTGAGTGTGGCTGGTACGTGTGCCCGTCGCGCGAGCTAATATGCATCCGGCAAAGTGCACGTACGGAGTGGCCGAGTCGAGAAGGGCGGCTACATGTACTGCGCGCCTTGTATATTACATACACAGGTACAACTGCTATCCGAGCAACTAGCGCACTGCATATATACAATGTATATATGTGTACGTATGTATATTATACATACGTACGTATGAAACGACGTATCATACGTCAAGTCGCCGGAGCCAATCGCCGACTACGACGACGACGAGCGCCGTTTTTTCCTTACCCTCTCCCGCGAGTTATACAGCCAGCTCAGCTGTGCACGGACGCAACACACTTTTGTATGGGAACGTCTTCGCGACTCGCGCTTGCGCCTCTATTATGCATGCCTTTGCAGCTAGCTCATGCATCGCATGCTACTATACATGTATGAATCCACATTGAAGATCGCCTTTCGCGTTATCTGCTTATTTGCTGCTTCGTCAAGGACTGGCAAAACTCTTGGGCCTAAACAGTTCAATTCAAGCTGTACAATTTTAATATACGTTAGCTTGGAGAATTAGTTCATTTTTTTTCCTTTTTTATTCCCCGCGGAATTCCGTTAACTCGAATTTCGCTCGAAAAATTATTAATATTCCGAACAGATTTCATTAAGATCATATTCTTCAAACGATGACTGGGATTTTCGATTTAGGTTTAAGGCCTTGTTACCTTAATAGTTTTTGGCACTGAATATTAAGAAAATCAAAATTAATGTGCTTTTCTCGTGCTTCTGACTCGCTACGTGCGCACTTCATATTTATATATAAAACCTAAACACATCTAATTTCGCTGAAATAGGAAATAATGAATCAGTGCATGCATTGTGACAGACATGTGTCATAACTCTGTCTCTTTCTTAATAATCGACAATTTTTTGTGACTGTTTGGAAAATAATATAGACAATCCTTTTCTTACGGTCAGAAATCTGAAACCTGTCACACAAATGATTATGATCCATTAATCTTACAATGGAAAAATGCTCACTCATTGTTCACATCTAATGATACTTTTTGACGGTAAAAAACTCAGAAGCGTAGAAGCTGTCAACGAACACATTAATGAATGAAATGACTGGCGAGATTTATTTTCAAAACACACTGATTTTCTTTGGAGCACGCGCGAATGAAAAAACAAAAACAATCGTATCCGTTTTAAATTTTTACAAAATTTTATACGAGCATATGTTCAACAATTCTTGGCAGCATATAGTATTCAACATGGCACGTTACATTTTTAACTTACCTTGGTTTAATATTGTATAATATTTAATAATTTCTATATAATTTCATAGTTTCAAAATTTGAAGGAGGATTCTCATTGACCTCAAATTATCCAAATTGAGGCGACATTCTTTTAATCGAAACCATGTCTCTCGTTTCTCTAATCGATGTATCTCTCTCTGTATCGAATATGTATTGAGTATTCATGACACCATATGCGTGATTGACAATCTCAGTCATCAGTTCAATATCAACTTCTCATTGAATATAAGTGAATTTAAATCAATACAAATATTCATGCGAACCAAGTAATTATATTCTTAGAAATAAAAATCTGTACTTGGAGTGAATGTCGATGTTGTGCGCGCAAGTAGCCAATTGAGTATGCGTTACCGTAATATACGTCTGAGTGTCATTGTGACTGTATTACGAATCATCTGCATCAGCGGATGTAAGAAAAGTCTTTTTCTCACTACTGGATTTCATTCAGAGACATCGAGAACGTATTGATTCGGTCTCGTTTAATTTCACTTCAGATTTTGCCTTTGAGTTATCCTCGTCATTGAAATTGGACGATTTTTTGTTGCCGACAACAGAGATTTATTCACAAACACATATGTGGGGATTTTCGATACTCCCCTTTTTTCATTGTTAAAAAAAGTAATAACTATTTTATTGAATAGTTTTCCGCTCTTAAGAGACGTTTAACGTATAGCGCTCATCTTTCGTGGGAAACAAAATTATCGTTTTTAAAAATATAATTTCAACCGTTTTTATGCACGCTTAAAAAAAATTGAAAGTATTTAAAATTTTTCAATTTATCGTGACCTGAGCATTTTTTCGTTCGATCCAATAAACAATACGCGTGCGTATTGAATTTCAAATAAGATGATATTGTGTATATTTGCAATATCATCGAAAACATGGCACGTATCACGCACGTTGCGAGGGTTCGTTCATCAAATTATAAATTTAAACGATATACCAATATAAACATTATATACACTTATGTAGGAGCTCTCGAGTGCCATGATGGCAAAGTAATATAATCGCGGCGATGAGCATTGCGATGCATAATGCATATAAACGTCCATCAAATGCATATATTTATATTCGTGTTTGAGCGTAAAGACGAATGCCGAGAAGCACCCGAACGCGTTGCCGAATGATAATAATTATCATGGAAATATTCAGGCGAAAAAAGCTTACCGGATGGATATCATACAAGTGCGCATAAACATCGTGTCAATCTCACTGCGTCCGTGCATAACAAACGTTTTAAATAAAATTTCATGTCAAACGATGACGCAGTGGAAAAAAGAATACAAATAAAATAAAGAAAAAAAAAAGAAACGGAGTATTTTACAGCAGAAGTTTGAAACGCAAATCGATTATAAAGTCGGGGCGAGCATGAGCAGCATCAGCAGTAGCAGCGGCTCGGAGGCTATATTACATTATAGGAATTTTAAAGGCGTGCACCTAGCTGCATCGAGCGAGCAACATGAGATAGTATATACATATGAGAAACCTTAGGTAAGCGAAATGCACAAAGAACACGGGAGGGTTGACGCGCGCGCGATCTCTTTCTCTCTTTCTCTCTTTCTCTCGTCGATAAACAATAATCGAATTAGCCGTCTTAGCTGCGACACCTGCCCCTATTATATCCCCCAGCGCGAACGTACACATGACTGCAGTATATCGAGGTAGTCGATTACGTTATGTAGGCCAGCCAAGCATGACGACCCTTATACCTATCAACCCACGTCTTGAGCCCAGCCACGCCGAGCTGTAATACACGATACGCCACGCTATGCGTTCACGATCAGCGTCATTTTATGTAACGACCAACTTTTGGACGCGCGCGCGCATTTTAATTCTCCATATAGTTGCTTTTCTCAAATTTTAATCTCGCTCGTCTCTAGTCTCTAGTCTGCTGACCAATCAGAGGCTCTTATGCAATGCTCTCGTGCATTTCAATTAGACATACTTTTTTTAAAAGTAGATATAATTAGATTTTTGGATAAATTATAGATACACGCGTGTCGCCTTACGCGACGAGATTCGATCGTTGTCACCGCGTGTCTTCTTTTCGATCTTCCATCCTAGAACAATAATTTAAGTTATGTCTAATTATTTTTCACGAAAATGTTATACTTATCATGTATCGCATGTATTCATAAGGCTTCGTGACTATTGCTCATTCCTATAAGTTGACGAAGAAAGAAGAGTAGGCGTCCCGCTGTGACTGATCCAATTTAGGCGTACGTATGAAAAATTACCATACATCGGAGTAAAGGTCGTAAATCAGTGTGGAGCAGGAAAGCATTGCACTTGCCGGTAACGCGCGCGTTCGGAGACATTTTTAAAGTGTATATCAATCGATGACACGTCAATCGAAAATCCGATAATCGAGGCTTCGCTCACGACTGAAAAATAATATACTTTCATTAGACTACATAGTATTTTCTTATTACAATTTTTACTAAGAACAAATTAGTCGTCAAAGTATAAGCTGAAAGCAGAAGCGGCGGCGATCCACGCCCACAATTTCTCGAGCAGCAGAAGCCGCTAACGTATATACTCATCCACGGTGCACGGTATATCTATAGGTACGCGTGCGCGCGAATACATAGTGCAATTTGCGCATAGGATCCATAAGTTGCGGCGGTGGTGGCGCGGCCCGTTTATATGAACTCGAGCGAGATGGAAGCGCGGATGTATAGATATATTAGAGACGTAGGACTCGGCAGAGAGCGAGGCGCGCGTACAGCGAGGAATAAGGCGCGCCTCGCGCTGTAATAATTAATAATCCTTGCTTGCTGAGTGGCTCGAGCGTATAAAACTCCGCCCACGCCTCTGTACGTGCTCTCTCGCTCTTGCTCGAGGAGCGCATCTCTCGATCGCGCTCGGCCCCACTGCCAAGCCGGAGCCAGCTGAATTTATGAACCGCAACGCCCCCTCCTGTCATAACTGTTACTCCATGCAGCGCGAGAGAGAGAGGAAGAATATAAGCGAAATATTCAACGCCGAGAGGGGAGTCTTATGGGGTGGCTCTGGTGGGGGTAATTTAAGATCCATACTCGGCATTTATATACACATTCGTGCACGGGCACACGAACATATGTATGGAGCGCGTATTAATGCCAGTCCGTGGTGGAGGCGACGGCGGGGAAGCGCTGGAGAAACGGAGCAGTGGGGGGGACGCGGCTTGCACCGAGGCACGCGAACGGCAATAATTTCGTGCTGGCTGCGCCGCAGGCCTGGTGGGGCAGCCACGCGAGGGGAATCTCGGCATTGGCTTTGCTCTCCGCCGTACAGGCAGTAGTTTTGATTTGACTGCGAAAGCACACGGTCGTACGCCGCGTCCCTGCGTCGCGCTTATTTTATATATGCTCGTACATTATAAATGAGCACGCGTTCTCCAAGCATGACCCAAGTATCGTGAGCCGCGCATCACAACGTATCGTACAGGGACAGTGCTCGATGGCTCGATAGAGAGGCCTCGATTTTTCAATACAGTGTTGCAAATGGTTATCGTTTGACAAGTTTCGCTCGCGGCTCATCCAGTACGTGATGCAGTTGATGCGCTGGAGTATCATTAATCGCAGGAGCATGGAAAATCAAAACGAGAAGGCGACGGTCGTCGATCAAATTGTCGAACAACAAAAGAAAACCAATTGCGAGATGAGCGAACAAACAGTCAACACAGTTGTCCGAGAGCCGATAGGTACATATAGCCATATATTTATACGCATCAGTGCTAAATCGTGGTGTAATCAGTATGATATATATAGCCCCTCTGTGTGTCCCGGTGTGTCGTCTATGTGGTATTGTGTTTGTGTTTGCAGTTTAGTTCGATAAGCAGGATCAAATGCGTGCTATATATAAGTGTATAGTTCGAGAGTATCAGCCTCTCGATATACATGTATATATGCTCAGAGTCGCTCGTTGATTCCGACGCCCGATCGGCACGGCGAGATAACAAATTTGCTCGTTGTGCGCGCTTGTGCAGAGAAAAACGTCGAAAAGGCGAAACTGCTAAAACTAGCCAGTGAAAGGGGCCATAGGCAAATAGATACACATGCACGCGCTTGCACATGCAGCAGCTCACGCAGTCGCAGAGTATACGGAACGTTCTCGACAAATGTTCTCGCGTGCAATTTTTGCTTTCACGCGAGTCTCTGTGTCTATCTCTCTCGCGAGTGCAATTCTTTTCTATATTCAATGCGGAAAATTACTTGCTTCGTCTAATTGTTTGGTGCGCGCGCGCGATCTTCAAAGTCGAGTCCCCTCCTATTACTACGTTGACTACGTGTGCTGCGCTTGTGTGGCTATTACGCGCGTGTGTGTTCGCACGCGCGGCCGCTAACAATTACACAAACGCCTCTGCTCTGTTAAAAACGCAATAAAAATTATACCCGAGGCTCTCTGCCTGCGGTGGCGGAGCTGGCGATAATAAAGACGTTTTTCCGACGCCCACTCGATGAATTAAAATCTCTACGCGCGCCACATGCACGAGGCCGCGCACTCGTCTGCGCGTGTGTACCTACTGTGTATCCGTGTACGCGATTGTTTGTATAGGTACTTGTGATTTATGTAATGTACGTTTACGCCCGCATACCTAATCCACGCTTTTAGTATTCTTGATAATAATTTGAAAGTTTCTCTCTTGCTGCTGTGACGTGTTAAGATTTTATATAGATATACGATTCCGAAATTCGGGGCCAATTTACCGGCCGAAGTCGCGCCGAGTACACGCGTCGAGTGCAAAGATCGATTCCCCCTCAACGTTACGTCGAATTTTCACTCTTCCGCAACTCGAGCCTAGCTACGCCAGCTGACTAATTCTATATTAAATTATAATCGATTATTTGTAATTCAAATTGAGAGCAAAATGGTCGGAGAGCAAATCAATACGTCGTTCGCGACTTTGATTTATTGGACGCGCTCTACGCGACTTTTTGCACGTGTGCATTAGTGTTGCATTATTTAAATTTTATTTCAATCTTAAATCGCATATCAGTATGATTTACAGAAAATATCTGTCGGTCGGCGAAGCAGCCGAATGAATTATTTGCTCGAAACAGCGAAAAAATCCGACGTGTACGTAAAGCCAGCTCGCAAAAAAATCTCGCAATAATTGCCGCGAGATCGATATAAAATAGGCTGCGCGCATCAATCCATCTAATTAAAATAACATCGCGAAGAAAGCACACGTAGACACACACATAGTCTCTGCACAGTATCTCATGGCGCGATTTATGCGTCTCTGCAATTTTCCATCGGCTTTGCGCGGGGCTCGCACGCGCGGTATACAACAGTCCTCTCTCGGCGCGATGCATAAATATCCGTGAACCCTTCCATAATTCTTCTCTCGTTCGCTCACACATACGCGGCGCAGAGAGGCGGCGGAGACTCGTGCACACACACATATGCACGTATAGGCCCGTGAAAGCCTTTCAGCGCTTGCGCGCGCATGTATGGGCTCGCCGCGATCCTCGTCGTTTTAAATTTCAACCTCGAGTAATAACATTAATTTCATCAACCTTGGAAAATGGCCTGTGTGTGTATGAGTGCATGCATACAACTCGAGTTTTTAGCTCAAAATATGAGATTGTTATCGCTCGAGAGCATCGCCCATATGGGATGTTGCATGCAAAATTTATCCAGTCATCGGGTTCGATTTTCAAGATTATCTTAACGATAATTATTATAACGTTTAATGGCTGACAGTTCGTATATGCGCACACACTTACACGGAAAGGCTCAGATTCTTATACCCGTACGTGCATATGCAGAGGAGAGACATTTTATTTGCTTAATTCGAACCTGACTCGTTTGAAACTTTCTTAACGGCCGTAACGCACGTCGTTTATAGCTCATCATAAATGCGTTTTATCTCGTTTTGAATTATCTTATTTTATCGCTCGAACAAGTTTTAATTTTTTTAATGCAAACAAATTGCAATTTTTAAATCGAGTGGATATGAGAGCGTTTGTGGGAAATTATTTTTATTTTTTATTCATAGGAGGGAAAGAACAACGATACAATAATATATGTCTATGTCAAAATTGATACTACTATAGGGATCGAGTATGAGGTATATTGCGGCGTACCCACTGCGACCTTGTATTATTTTCATGAAGAATTCCAAATTTATGAATATTTTCTCTTTCTCTAAATACTTATAAAATATGATTCGATAATAAGCAACTTATACGCGAGAATATGTGGACAATCCTGTTTTGTACCAAAAAAAGGTACACACTCCGCGTATAAGCTCATAAATTATTTTCGACATCGGATTGTAAAAAGCATTTGATGATTCACCTTATTCGCAGATTGATCGGAACGGCAGATTGTACATAAAATCCGCACGATATACAAGTGAAAATATCTCGAATGAAAATGAATATTAATTTCTGGTACATAATTCACTGTTTTTATAAATTATGGACTTAATAATAATGTCGCGTGTGTTTTTTTTTCTCTCTGCTTACAGGTGATGAAAATGAGTCACATTCAGATGGCGAGGGTAGCGAAGCTGCCGTCGATCTGTCCTCGGCCAAGTCTCAAAACGAAGACGACTTGGAAGCCGACGAGCCGTTACGAAGCAATCATCACAACAACGCGGCGGACATCAGCGAGAATGCACAGGACGACGACGAGGACGAGGCCGGCGAAGGCAAGCAAGGGCCCAAACAGCATCAGCAGCAGAAAAAAAGTCAAAAGCGCCCCTCCTCCGAGGACGAGGAGGAGGACGAGGAGGAAGACGAGCACTCGAGCAAGCGCATGCGGCTCTGCGAGGACGCCGAGAACAATAACAGCCTCGTCGAGGGTGGAGCCCAACCAGCGGTCGCATTTCCCACCGCGGGAACTAGTCACGTCACTCTCGAAGCTCTCCAGAACACAAAGGTCGCGGTCGCCCAGTTCGCGGCTACGGCCATCGCCGCGGGCGCCGACACGGAGGAGACAATACGAGAGTTCGCCGCCCTACAGAGCACCCTCTTCACGCTGCAGCACCAGCAGGTTTTTCAATTGCAGTTGATCAATCAGCTGCAGGCTCAGCTGCAAATGGCGGCGGTCAACGAGCAGGCCAAGGAGCAGGCCAAGAACAGCGAATCTTCGGCTGCCGAGGCCAACAATAGCAGCAGCGCAGCCGCCACCGCGGAGAGCAGCAAGGAACCGTCGCCCTCGCCGATTCTGCCGATAATCATGCCCAAGCCGCTCTCGTCTCTGACGTCGCCCGCGCACTCGAGGCCGTCGAGCCAACACCAGGAACCACCGCCGCAGTCGAGCTCGCCCCCGACGAACCCGGACAGGCCGAGTATCGCGCGCGCCAAGAGCCGCTCGCCGCCGATGCAAGCGCGCCCCAGCGTCACCAGCCCGTCGAATCTTCCGATTTTGGCGCCACCGTCGCATCAGGTGCCGGCTCTGTGCTCCATCAGCTCGTCTCTGGCGTCGACCATCATCACGAACAACGATCCGATGCCTCTGAACGAGCCGAACACATTGGAGGTTCTGCAAAAGCGCGCCCAAGAAGTTCTCGACAGTGCCAGCCAAGGCCTTTTGGCTAACAACTTGGCCGACGAGCTGGCGTTCCGAAGCTCCGGAGGCAAGTCCCGCCTATCTCCGTACGATAAAGGTAACGGGCGCGGAGAACCCTTTTTCAAGCATCGGTGTCGATATTGCGGAAAAGTTTTCGGGAGCGACTCGGCCCTGCAAATTCACATCAGATCTCACACTGGAGAGAGACCATTCAAATGTAACATATGCGGTAGTCGATTTACAACCAAAGGTAATTTGAAGGTACACTTCCAGCGACACAAAGAGAAGTTCCCCCACGTGAAAATGAATCCCAATCCGATTCCGGAACACTTGGATAAGTACCATCCGCCTCTAATTCAGCAAATCGTAAATCGCAATGTGAATTCATCGCCTCCGATACCAGTTGGACCAATGGCTGCCATAACCGGCCCTAGTCCATACGGAGCTCCATTTTTGCCGCCTCAGGGACCTTCCATCAATGCGTTACCTGGTAATTTTTTTCGGCCACCCATGATGAATCCGATTCAACCTCGAGAGATGCCTCATCAGCCGATCAACTTGGAACAAGATAAACCGGCCGACTTGAGTATATCTTCCAACAACGTTGAAGCCGTCTCCCCAGCACATTCGCCTGTCCCCCAATCGAATCCCAATAATTCAATGTCGATGAATGAAAAGCCAAAGCCAATGGATGAATCAACCGAAGAGACGGTTAAAAGGGAGGAAGAACGTCCAGCGATGGACACCAGTGATTTTCGGCAACATCAGCAGCAGCAGCAGCAGCAACAGCAAACCCAGGAGCAAACCTCCGCGGATAACGAGGCTTCCGAACGCATAATGCCGAAAAACGAGCCCGAAGACGTAGAGGAGACAAACGAGGAGGAGGAATTCGAAGGCTCGACCAATCAGCCCAGCAACAGTCAAGCCTTCGAGGATTGCAGTATGGATAGCAAAAGAAGCATGAGTCGCGATAACGAAGACGACGATTGCGACGATCAGCCGGAGAACCTCTCGAGTCGAGCCAATCCGGCTTCGATGCTGCAACAGTCGATGACCTATCCCGACGCCTCGCCCGCCGGCAGCAGCCACAGCGGCAGCAGCGGCAGCATGCAGACTTCCTTCGCTAACATATTGTTTCCGAATCTGCCGCCACACACGACGCAACTCGCAGGCCACCCGACCGCTGCGAGTCAGAACATGAGCATGAGCATGGCTGGAGGAGGCGGCGGCGGCCCGGAAACGATAGATCCAGCCCGCGATCCAGCCATCTACTCGAATCTGCTGCCCCGGCCGGGTAGCAACGACAACTCCTGGGAGAGCCTCATCGAGATCACCAAGACGTCCGAGACGTCGAAGCTGCAGCAGCTCGTCGACAACATCGAGCACAAGCTGACGGACCCGAACCAGTGCATCATTTGCCAGCGCGTGCTCTCGTGCAAGAGCGCCCTGCAGATGCACTACAGGACGCACACCGGCGAGCGGCCCTTCAAGTGCAAGATCTGCGGCAGGGCCTTCACGACCAAGGGCAATCTCAAAACGCACATGGGCGTGCACCGAGCCAAGCCCCCGATCAGGCTGCTGCATCAGTGCACGGTATGCCACAAGAAATTCGCCAACGCCTTCGTCCTGCAGCAGCACATCAACCTCCACACCAACGACCCGACCGAGCTGACGCCCGACCAGATTCGCGCCGCCGAGGTGCACGACTTCCCGCCGGCCGGATACCCCCCGCTGGCGGCTTTCCTGCCACAAGGCTTCCCGCCGCTTCATCCGGCGGCGGCCTTTCCCCTGGGCTTTCCCGGCCCCATGAACAACATGGAGCACTCGGGCCTCGACGTGGACGAGCGCGACTCGGTCGACTCGCTGCAGAGGCAGCAGCTGCAACAGATTCGCCAGCAGCAGGCGCGCATGCTCGGGGAACGAGAGCAGGTCTACGAGCTCGACGACGAGGAGGACGACAGACGCCAGGAGAACGACGAGAGGTGCGACGATCGCAGCAGCGACGGCGACGACAAAGACAACGGCAAGTACGCGATGGAGAAGCAACGCAGGTCGAGCCCATCCGCCACGGTGACGTCCAACTCGCCGCCGATGCAGCGCTACAACGGCAGCGAGCGCAGCGACAGTCCCGTCAACAACGCGCCCAACGTCTCGTCGGCGCCGCTGGACCTGACGCCGAGGGCCTCCTCGACGCCGGCTTCGGTGAGCCCAGCCCCACAGTCGCCCCAGTCCCAGCAGTCGCAGCAGGCCCCGCCGCTGCCCAGCACGGCGCCCGCCACCCCGACCAGCGTCGCCTCGAATCCGGTCGCGGCCGCGGCCGCGGCAGCCGCTGCGGCGGCCCATCCGGCCTTCGGCATGTTCGCCGGCCTGCTTCAGGCCGTGGGCTCGGCTCCGGGTGTCGTGCCCGGGGTCGTGCCGCCCAACGCCGTGAGTCCCGGCCCGGCCGGAATCGGCCCACTGGCCTCACTCACCAACAGAGCCGCTACGGCCACCTCCAGTTTCAACCCGCTCGGGCTCGCGGTTGGCGGCTCGGCAGGTAGGCGAAGATAAACAAACAAAACACAATTTCAAGCTGATTGTCGTTGTTGTTAGAGAACTGCGGTATTATCGTGTAGATACTGCCTTTTTTATACACATGGATATATAAACACACACACAACGCGATGCGTGCGCCAAGTAATATTTATATACTTCTATAGCATGTAGTTCATAGATATACTTTGTAACCCAATGCAGTGATCCTTTATATATCAATAATATAATATTGAATAATATTTATATAAAAAACACTTAGAAATAACGGGCATGGGGATCACATTCTCTCATTCTCTTACTACTATCGCACTTATTGCATCGTAATAACGTCATTTATATTATAATACTCGCTTCTCATTGTATATATTTTGCTTGAGATGTTACCAGCAGCATCACCGTCACATTACTCGTTCACTCTCGCTCGCTATAAATATAATCGCTACATACATATCAATATAACTATGTACATGTATTGAAGTCACATGTGCATAGCACGTATAATCATATGTATCTAGAATATATATACACACGTATAAAAACCGCTCGAGTCGTAGCCCAAATCAAAAATCACACCCATTCAGTTTGTACTGATCAAACGGAATCAGCAAAAACTAAATGTGCGTTTATTCATTGTTAGTCGAATCATTTGATACATATACTGTAGCCCAATTAGATTGTGTGTTACTATTACAAATAAATAGAAGCAGAGCGACGCTTAAAGTCCTTTGGAATTTGTAATTATGTATAAATAGGAGATTAGCTTGATTATAAACTCTATATTATATCCTTTTTTACGAAGATTCGAATATTTCTTTCGTATATCGGATGTGATTGGTCCGACTTCTCTTATGAGAGATAATCGAAAAGCATATTATGTTTATCGATATTGTACTATGCTGTGTTTCTTTTTTTAAATGTACAAAGATCGAAAATATGATTATGATAATTACTTACTGTTAACTTTATTTTACTTGCGTGTATAGTTATTTTTAATTTAAATTGGCAATGAACTAATTAAGTCATTAAAATTAGAGTTTAATTAAAACAAAGTTTGTTGTCCTGAAAATTGTAGATATGAAAAAATTTATTTTGCAAAAAAATAAAATGTTATGATTGATTCATTATTCCTATTATAAATAATTTGATGATTTGGTAATATTCAAACTCATCTAGCAATACTATATACTAGTATGATTCCTAAAAATACATATGAAATAAATAAACAAGCTTTAAATGAAAATTTTGTTCATACTCTTTTTTTATTATTTATTCAAACATTCTATATCTTTATTTCTGTTCTGTTGTGTATGTTTGTGTTTGTGCGTGAAGACGTACTTTTATATTTCTTTATTGTTGTCTTTGTCTCTGATAAAATTTGTAAGGTAGCCAAAATTTCAATTCCTGCACGTCAAAGAGCCACAACAAAATGCTTCTGGAATACCGATAATCCTTTGTGAATACCGAGGCTTGTTTTAAAACCTTTTATTTTTCGTCCTTTTAAAAGAAGTATACGATACTTTGTTTTTTTATTCTTATAGTTATGATAATATCGTTAATCGTGCATAAAATATTAAATGAATCATTAACGAACGAAATAACCAGACTTTATTAATTTTCGACTTTTATACTAACTCACGTCATCCTCCTCAATTGTCATTGTTTTTTTAACTTGATCGATTGATAAAAAATTCTCTTCCGAAGCATGATTTCTAATATCCGTTTGCACTGAGAAAAAAGTAATGCGAGGTTTTAAACTTTGTAAAGGCGTCCCAGGTATTTCCAAGCTTGCACGCGCGCAAAAAAGCGCATTATCTCAATGCGACCTGTTTTACATTCGAAATACATGTGCCTCGACCAAAAGGTGTATCTGTCTATGGCTATATATACGTGTTTATCCTCGTAAAACATCTTTAGCAGTCGCTTTTGATCGTGCCTCTAAACTTTTCTATTCAAAGAGGTGCGAAAAATTTTTCATCCGAAGCCGTGTTTGCGCGCGCGGGGACCGACTTTATTATCCTATATTTATCGAGAGCCTATATACGTGTACAGCAACTTGCCTCGAGTCACGACGATCTTTTGCATCCCTATTCTGCTTATATACAGTTGCATGGATTATGTGTGTGTGTATGTGCGCTTTCCTATATACGTGTGTGTATTTATTTATACCATAGCATGCAAGTTAGCATGAGCTGGTATGCGTTTCATGGTATATATTATAATGTTTGCGCATATAAAGAAAATATATACGTATATAGAATTATTTTACGAATGCATCTTCACTATATATACACATACACACACATATTTACTGTCTGCTTTACCGGTGCTGTGCTTGCGCTTGGATTCTGTGGTAATACAATGGCATCTTCGCTTTTTTTAGATCTTATATAATGTAGTTGTTGCATTTATTTATAAATATATAGATACAGAATTTTCTGTATATTTTTGCGGGTCTGGATTTTCAGTACGTACAAAGAAATTTTCCTTTCTCTTATAAATAAGATATACCACATTAGTTATCTGCCTCTCTTTTTTCTCTAGAATTCTCGCTCCCCGCTATAAAGCACGTTATAATAGGGTGAGGTGTGTTTGAATAAAAAATCATCTATTTTTCATCAAATAGACAATGCGAAAACGACGTTTGGGTTACGTTCGATTATCCAGATCTTTCGTCTCTTTAATATGAAATATTCGAGTAAAGATATTAAAATTTATTCGTCACTTCAAAATTTTTGCCGAATCCGAAACCGTATTATTGAACACGCGATCAAAACACATTATTATGCTAATCGTTGGCGTGGTTATTGGTTTACCTTGATTTACGCGAATTTCTTATTGTATAACGCGCATTCTCGTTTAAAATATAATGAGACACATTTCTTCGAGTCAATTTCAAGCATCGTAGCGAGAAAAAAATTGTTGGGCTTGTATACATGTATGATTGCACCTTTGGATGTTTTCAAGGGCCAACAGAACGTACCATATTAGCAAATCGCTCGTGTACGAAAGCCAATCAGGCTTCATTAATAATTAAAAGTTCTATAGAGCAGCTGCTTATTGTACAATGTTTTCGTGAGTCTCGTTGAAAAATTTCGATCTGTACAAGGAATACTCTCTGTCGGGCCGTTGTTTATCGATAAGAAAGGCTTGACTTTTTCGTTTTATTGTCACAACAATTTTTACGTAACGCATTTTACACAGACGAACTTAAAGTTTAACTGATTCGTCGAGTCTATACGTACATACGCGCGGTGTATAGACACATGTGGAGCTACAAATTTATGCATGCAAGGCTTTAAATGAGAAAGTTTTGGCTCGTAAATCCCTCGCTTGGTCAGGCGCGCGATAGATAATCGAGCATGTACGTACACACTCTGCATAAAGGCATATGTATGCGAGCACGAACACACAGACAGCAACACATTCGCGCGCGCACACACACGAGCGGGCACGAACATTTTTTTATCATTTATACGTATTTAGAGGCTTTCCATATGCATAATATGTACATGATGCACGAGTCATACCGAACTAAATCATCGCACGATCTCTGAATGTTGCAGTACGCGGCAATACAACTTGCAACATCTGCTACAAAACGTTCGCGTGTAATTCAGCCCTGGAGATTCATTACCGTAGCCACACGAAGGAGCGGCCCTTCAAGTGTTCTATCTGCGACCGAGGCTTTTCGACAAAGGTAACTGTCTCACACATCAAGCACTTAACAATTTCCCGCACTCCTTGTAAATTTCCTTTTAATTTGTTTCTTTTCCACCGACTTTCTTTTTTCAATGGCTCTATTATCGGTACTTTTGCTGATGATGATTTGCTTAAGATATGGTATTCATAGTAAATTTTCTTTTATACATACCTTTCAATTATATGCACTTCTATTTAACTGCTCAAAAACTATATATATGAAAGAACGAAAGATCATACTTGAAACGATCTCGAGCCTACTGCTAAAAATAACTTCGCCCGGCATGGATGTAGTTCTTGGTTATCGATGATCGGTGCGTACGCGTCGCACAGCGGCTATGGATAACTTAATTCGGGATTTTTCGACATCCGATTAGGACGATTCTTTTTGAAGGAATCTATATCATGATAATTCATGCAGCACTAAAAAAAACGCGTTGGTGCTAAAGTCTTTGATAAAACGAAGCAATTTCAATGAGTGATTATTTCGCTAATTGCTTCTCATTCTTTTAATAATTTAACGAAGTTAAATAAATCTGGTGCATTTTAATTTTAAATTTCTGACGTAGATTTGCATATTTCTCCTTCGCACATTGCGGATATAAATATAATTTCAACGTTTTACGACTTGAAGATACGATTTAATTTAACGTATGACTTAATTTATGTCGACTGAAGATAATTAATAACTATAACTAATATATTTTAATCATTTGAGCGCATTAATTAGCATAAAAGTCTCGATCGTTAGTGTGTATTGAGCTTATGTGAAAAAAAAATTAATCTGCAATACAATATTTTATTATTTGAAAATAAAAACCGACGCGTTGAACATATAGTAGTGAATACCGTATGTCGTAAACATGAATGCATTATGTAGGAAGTACTGCAAAGCTTTGAAAAAAAAACCAGAGACGCATGAAAACCAAACAAAAAAATCCCTACTACGTTACAGAGCAACGAAGTAGACGTGACGCTCACGGGCAAGAGATTGGATAAGTGTCGTTGCGCCGAGCGCGCGCGACGCAGCGCACGCGAAAAAGCTCGCAGGAGACGGAAGGCCGAGGAACGGCTTCGACTCCAAGGGCGGACGGCAGCTAACATTAACGGCGCTAATGCAAATAATGCAAGCTTGCTTAAGATGATCGGCAATGCTAACGGGGGCAGTGGTGGCGCTCATAGGACCCATGCTATTAACCAGCTCTATGGGGACCTCGTCAGCCTGCCCCCGATCGTCGGCCGTATCGAGCCGTCCGCCCTCGGAGGTCTGCTGAGTTCCGATACTACCGTCTTCCTGGTAAGCACCTCTCTATCTCTCTCTATCTCTTTCTCTTTCATTGATACACATAAACACATACCCATACTTTATTATTATTTTTTACATCGACTTTTTAACAATCGTCATCATCATTTTCGTATTTTGATCTCTAAATTATTCTTCAATTGAACTTGAAATTATTTTTGTTGTAATAATTTCTGTATGTAACTCAAAGATTTATTAGTTTGGCTTGTATTATCCTCATAAATAAACCATTTGACATAACACACAGTCTAATATTCCAGAAAAGGTCATTATAATATAAAATATTCCTTCGATTTCTTTCGACATACTACTTTATTTATTCAGAGCGAAATCGTTCGATATGCGTATGTTAAGAGTACACTCGTGCCTTTATCAACGGCGTTATTTATAGACAATTTGATGCGAAATTCATGCCTATATCCTTAGAGCGTTTTATTTTAATTTTGTAATACACAATTTATGACAAAAATATTAAAAAGTTTATTCATTTAAGCTTATCTCATAATGTTTTTGCGCAGAAGTTACCTTGAAATGACTAATATCATAATTGCAAAATTTATTTCTATATTCCATTCACAATTTTAGTATCGAAGGATACATTAACTTTTATTTAAACTTTGATCAACTCGCTTTATAAAAAAATCAGACATTGAGAGCTATATTTTTTTATAAAAAGTAACTTTATACATACTCGTATTATGCATCGACTGCGAGCGTTTACCAAAATCTGAGCAAATCGTCAGAGTAAATTTCATTTTCATGCATTAGGATAGGTTTAAAAAATTTGATTGCATAAAAAAGATGGTTTACCCAAATAAGAATATAGTGAATTTTCATTACAAAAAAATTTGTTCCTGTACATTTTTTTTCATTTTACCAACTCAAAAAATATTCAAACTATATAAAATTTTTTTGGCACAAGTACCAAAACTACTTGTCTCTAATTAAGACGAAAATGCAATTCACTGTGTTCTTGATGAAGGTAAGCTCATTTTCATCTGATCAAATTTTTCTGGTTTTCAATAATTTAATGATAAAAAATTTTCAGATATATTAAAAATGCAATATCTAAACATTCATAAAAAAATTTTATTATTTTTTTGCAACAGGGAAATATGAAACAACACATGTTGACTCACAAGATCCGCGACATGCCTCATCATCTATTCGGTGACTCGAAATCTCGAGACTCTCAACCACCGCAGCAAGCTCCACCTCCCCCGCCTCCGCCACCACCTCCGAGCTCATCGTTACTGCCCACCCTTCAGGTGCAGGTTGTACCACCGCCCCCTATGCCAGTGGTGTCGCAACCGCAAATACCCTCTCAAGGTCAAATGCAGCAACAACAGCAACAGCAGCCGTTGTTATCGACGACGCTTCAACAGCAGCAGTCCTTGTTACCCGCGACGATGCATCATCATGAGGCCTCGCACCTCCAACGCGAACAATCCCGAAGTCCTATTTCGTCAGCCGATGAAGGAAACATGACGTCCATTCCTCAACAGTCACCCGATGCCGGTTCCGTTAAGAAGAATTCTGTGCTGGATAACGACAAGAGATCACCGAGTGAGTATTTTTCACTGATGAATTTGCATTGATTTTTTGGTTATTATAATCGACTTTTCAAGATTGCCTTCAGATGATGTTCGCAAATACTTCGAGATATTTTAAAAATACATAATATAATCGCTAATAAAATTAATTAATATAAAATATCATCAACTTATGATTTTCGATTGAGTCATATTCTAGAATTTTTTATTCAATTTTATTGCTCGATTTAATTAAAAAGTCATTTTAATTTTTAAATATAACAACAATTTTATTTCAACATATCATCGGAGTTTAGCAAATGCCTAAATGTTTCCTTGAAAATTCAAATTTTACTTATCGAAATTTTATAATGTAAGAAATGTGCGAATATTATGAAAAAAGCAAAGAAATAATTTATAATGGCTCATGTTTTTTCTGTATTAACTTCTTTTCTGTATTCGAATTCTTGATGTTCAATAAAAATTTTAATCAGTGTCTAATAACCACATTTCTGAGAATTAAATTATTTTTTTTTTCGTAAAATATCATTTTATTCAATTCATTCCGACCAAAAATGAAAATATCTCATTTTTAATTAGATTGTTCACAATGATAATAAATATCTTTACTTATAATTATAATTTTTTATAATGATGTCTTGTATGTTATCAATTAGTTTTGTTATCAACAGTAATATTTTCAATTTTACTAGCTTATCTATCTTAGTAATTATTATTTCGCCAATTAAAATTTTGAATTTAAAAAATACTTTCTTTTGTTTCAAGTTAATAAAATCAAACTTTGGGATATGATTTATTTGTATAATCTCACTTTACAAATGAATTAATAATTAACTCCGTAACAGCGATAAATTAGAATCAATGGAATTGTTTCCTCTGTATACTTTAATCAACTTTACTTGCTCACCAAGATCATTAAAAATGTGATTTCTTGTTTAACATATTGTGAATAAAATAGATACATTTCTCAGTAAGAAAAGTAAATTTAGTTAGACAGTTAATAAAAGATTAAATAATAAGATAAATTTTTTTAATGCATTCATTAAATTTTAATTATTAACACTCTATTTATTAGATAATCTTATTCACTAACAAACCACTTTTGTAATTTACTAATCACAGTCTGAATTTCTCTTGTGCACATAGAGTATTTTTTCAATATTTAAAAAAGCTACTTTACTTTATACTAAGAAATACATTTGATTACAATAGTTTTTGTGCCACCCCAACCTGAAGAAATATTTTCCTCCTGTCGAGCTAAATCTAAAAATTACTTTCGGCTGGGGGGATTCAGAAAAAAATTTTATTTGCATCTATGTAGTGAATTCCATTTTCCTCGCTCCATAAGTGCAGAAGATACTATTTATTATTTTTTTTATTACTCTGTGATCATTGCTGTTGCTAACATCTCAAAAATTGAATCAAATGCGTTTATGCTTTTAACGGTTATGAATACTTTGTATTTTTTCGATACTTATATGCAGCAATCTCCCTATCTGAAGCATCGCACAGACGATCCTGCAAATACCTATCCTCTTGAAAATATCATAGTAATTAAAAACTTGCTTATTCGATTAAAACGTATTAGTAAAAATCAAAATTTTTCAAATAATGAACGGAAAATCGCTTAGCATTTTGTTTTGTGTTTTGAAAAAAGTAAAAAGCGAAAAAAACTATGTTTTGTGTGTGATGTGTATTTGCAGGCATGCCCAGCAACAAGCATTTGTGCCAGGTTTGCAATAAGAATTTCTCCTCGTCCTCGGCGCTTCAGATCCACATGAGAACGCACACCGGTGACAAGCCTTTTCAGTGCACCATCTGCCAGAAGGCCTTCACTACCAAGGGCAATCTTAAGGTATCATTATCATTTGCCCTCGTGTCATCGTTGACAATTATATAAAACAAAAAAAACAATAAGAACTTAAAAATATAACCTGCTTTCGAATCCTTGCTACGACACCGCTTTCTTTGTAGGCGCTTGCGTTGATCTTCTCCATGGTATTATTTAAATTTGATGTTCCTGTTAATTATTTTTTATCAAACGCTATATTTACTAACCACGTGTTTAAATATTTTTCTTACGATTCGTTGTTCTATTTTCTTTTTCATGATTTTTACGACTAATCAATTTGTAAATATCTATATGTATTGTAAATATCTTACTGTATATACTGGAAAATATTTTGATGTGTTGGGTATCAATTTTAATTTAAGTTGTAATAGTAAGAGAAAAAAAAAAGTAAATACGTTCGACGTGAAATCTGATTTCATAACAAGATTGGTACGTTAATGCAGGCGAAATAATAATATCTACGAGAGATAAAGAGAGAAAACTGATATTCTATCGAATTTAGCTGCATTGACGCAGAAGCCTTAGTAAAGTTTCGATTTGATTATATTACAATACCTATATATATATTTGAAATGGACGCGTTGACATATGAGCTTTTGTGATACCTTATTGTTTCTGATTCTCCCTTTATTATCTATGTATAATTTACTTGACATTTTTCTCGGTAAAATCACGGTACATTCAAGTGAAATGTTACACCGAACAAAGCTAAATGGTTTTTTTTTATTATTAAGACACAACATTGACACAATCATTTTTTTTATAGAAATAATGAAATGAAAAAAACATTAAATATGTTGAAAAAATCGTGACAATTGGTATTTTATGATTTGTAGGTACACATGGGTACGCACATGTGGACCAACGGGGCATCTCGTCGAGGACGGCGCATGTCATTGGACATACCATCGCTCCCAATCTCGCCCAAGGACTCAGAATTTCTGCAGCGAAGGCCGGACCTTTTCTATCCGTATCTACCCGCGCCCTTCCTTAATGGTGTGCCCCCACAAAAGGTAAATATTATCGATAATCACGTCCTATAATCGATCGCTTCAAGTAGTACAAGTCAATGTAATCTTTAAAGAAAGCAAAAATGTTAAACCAAGTCTAAGACGCTTTTGTCGATTTGTGTTTGTTTTTTTGCTGCTGCAGGTGATTGTACCCGAGTAAAATGACATTAGTATGCGCCTCGTTACAGTTGAACGAGATGCCAACGGCACCGGGGAGCAACGGCCTCGGCCTACCAGCCGGCACTAATCACACCAAGTACGCCGGCCTCTTCGGCTCGGTGTACGCGGCCGCGGGCTTCCCGTCCAGCAACGAGCTCGCGGCGATGAAGTCTCAACTGGCGCCTCACCATCAGCACCATCAGCGTCTGCAGCAACATCAGCAGATGCATCACAATCCTCATCATCCTCTGGGCGGCGCCAATGGACCAGTGGCCGACGGCATTCTGGGGCCAAAGTCGATGCTGTTCCAAAGTCATCCGGGAGCGGCCAGTCCACCGTCGCCGTCGCACTCGCCGATCGTGCCCGGCAGCTGGAGCAGCGTCGTGACCGAAGGTATGAAGCACCATCATCAGCAGCAGCAGAGGATACTGCAATTCGAGCGCGAGCAGTCGGTCGTACCCAGGCCGGACAGTCCAGCCACGGCTGCTGGTTCTCCGCCGAGATTGCCACCGACCGCGACGAGAGAAGGATTGGCGGCTTAAACAAATTTCGAGATTAAACGGCGAAAAAAATTCATAAAACTACGACGAAATTCATCTTCTGAATTGAAAGAGTGAAAGACTCGCACGGACTGAAAAGCGCATTTTCTGCGATAATAGAAGATTGTGTTACGTAATACTTTCGATCGTATATGACATTATGAATGTATGTTATGAATCGGTGCAGGCGTTATTTATATATAGCACATATATCACGGCAAAAAATGATAAATGTCCAGTCTATACTAACTATCGAGAGCATATTATAAATACAAAATAATTTCCCCGCCCCCTCAGCCTATGTCTTCCTTCGTTGTACATTGTCTTAACAAGCGACGAATATATGCTTTTTCAGATCGTCGGACGTTTTTGCGAGTTCGTATAAATGCTAGAATTAAGACGATTTCATATATATGTAGCATCGGCGAAGACAGAATGTTCCTATTATCACACTAGTCTAAAAAAAAAGCAAAAACACTGTACAGAGGCAGGCTGACGAAAAAAATGGAGGGAGAGAGTCTCGCCGTTTTACGTATATATAATAAATCTTATCAATCAGAGGATCGGTATTCTGCAATCGTTTTCGAATAGTTTAATAAAACTCGTTTTTCTTCGTCGACAAAATGACAAACTGTGACAATATTGCGTAGGTATATAATTTTTTTCTGTTTCGAAAGTATCCAAGTAGATCATACATTCCAATTTTATATACGATTATCTCATACCAGTAATTTTCTTTTAAATAATTTTTGTTTATGGTCTTCACCACATATTGAATAACCGCAGTACTTCGATACTTTTATTGAGGAAAAAAATACGTCGGATTTCAATTAGTTGATTGTAAACAAATGCATTAGACTAAATGTAGAAATAATTTTTTAGTACAGAATATTCGGTCGAATAATTTATTTCCATTGATATACGTTAACATGACAATCAACGTTGAAATTGCCATCGTCGATTCGCTCGATATCGGAGGCCAAACACGATTCATGTATCCATATTATCATTTCAGACTGATGATTTCACGAGAGAAGAAAACAATTTCTTAATCTGCAAATTGGCCTCCCGTATCCGACCGTCTAATTATTATGTTTTCACTATTATCATTACAAAAAAAACGAAAAATAACGACGATACATCATTTTGCTCTCCTCTCACGTAATTATTCTAGATTCGTCCTAATTGTATATTGAATATACATACTTATATTGAAACTGGTAACTTAGGAAACACAAGCGGAAAATTTATAATACCTTTGAACACATTTGGAAACACACGTACACACACATTTGTATACCAACGATTCGAATGCGAATGATCTACGGGTGTGATATTATAAGACATATATATATTATACATAACACAAGATAATTAAAGAATATTATCGATCATTGTTTTTAAAATTTAAGTATAAATAAACATAAGTAACGATTAATGAAAATTTTGGCGCTAAGCATGCTCTCTGAAATTTGTATAATATTGAACAAAATAGATAATTATTATAACTATCATTATTACTAAAATAAATAAATTATAAATCGAAGCGGGCCCGGCAGCGCCCCTCGCTGTGATATGAGAGGAGCAGCCTGCAATCACTAAACCAATGTACTTATATCTTGTATCATATAGTATTATGTATGTTTATTATGAAAAAAAACGAAAAAACGACATTTATTCGTACGAATAAAACGAATATTATAAAGCAAAAATGGCGAAATGGCATTCGATGCAAACGCAATTTATTAAATTACGTTCGAAAATGTTACCCATCGAGGTACCTATCATATATTTTTTATTTATAATAATCAATCAAAAATCTTGTTCATTATGAAGCACGAGCCTTTCATTATTCATTTGAATACGTTTTTTTAAACTCCTGCAGTTTTTATTTTTAATACTTAGATTAAACGTGGCTCTGCGATGATTTTCCTTAATTCAATATTAACTTAGTTTTTACAATGGATAAATGAACGAAAACCAAAGTATACATTATTTTTTTATAGTTTCTCATGTAAAGTTTGTTTTAGATAGCTTTATTAGAATAAACTCGCATTTTTTGCCTAGAAAATCTTTTAGAGAATTGATAGAAAGCTACACACGAGAGTGAAATGCAACTGCGTTTATATTGTGCAATTATAAGAGAATTCTTGATGGTTATACTGCATAGTTTAATTGTAATTTGTACATCTTTCGACACAAGGGCAGTATAATGAGATTTATAGTTTTAAATAACGAGTCGGTGGGGTTACAATGAGCGTGAAATATTATCTCAAAAATATTTGTTTCCATAAGTTTTGTTGAAAGAAGCTAATAGCTTTATGCATTATTAATGTGTGCGTAAAAAGTGCACTAACACTTTTTAAAGGCATATCGTCAAATTTGGTACTTCGATAATGTTTGTATAAGTACAAGTTTATCCAATGTGTAATAAATTTAAAAAATTTTAAAATAATATGATGTATAAATACAAGCTTAATCGGATGGCAACAATTTTTTGTAAAACAAGCTAGATTTAAGAAAATATACTCATGTGAATCGTCCGATAAAATAGTCAATATATTCCTATTCAAAGAAAATGATCTTGCGTTTTTATCGGACAAAATTTTCCAATGAGAACTTACTTATATCAAAGAAATATCGATTCTGAATCATAATAATACGAGCATCAACTGACAAAAAACGATAAAGTGTAAATGCTGGTGCTCTGTTAACAAATCCACTGGTATCGCGCTACATAAAAAGTAACAAAAAGAATAAAAATTAGCAGCTAATGGAAAAATCAAACTCGTGTGAAATAGAACATTTTTTGATAACATGCATAATCGAACGTTTGTAAGAATGAATGGTGTACACGAAGCACGTACATAATTTTTGTAAATAATATGAAACGAGATTTCCAGATTGTGTGACTGCGTGCCAAGTAACACAAGATTACACAAAATTATAAATTGATATACACATTATAAACTAAAACTACCAATATTATCACGCGTATAGGATAATATATATATTTATAATTAATTTATAGCAAAGAAAATAAAACTTGCATAATGATATGACGATGAACACTGTGAATATTAGAAGTATTTGAATGTGATTGTGTATGAATGGTAAAAAGAGATTAAAACGGTTAGCTGAAAACAACAAAAATAAAATGAATCGTTTGCTTCATTGATTTTGCGTTTCAAAAAAATCTTGTAAATATTGTATAATTCGTGTATAAACATGACTATTAGCCATGAACGTATCATTGTAGTTAAATACGTTACAAATCTATTATATCTATATCACTACTTCAATAATAAACCATTATTATTATGAAGAAGTCACGTGTAGAAATTTTTTCCAATCCAAATCCTATTTCATTATTGAAATTATGTTTATAACTGAATAACAAATGTAGTAGTAGTAACAGTAATAGTAGTAGTAGTAATAGTAGTGGTGGTTTATTGGCATGAATTACTTAGCCACGGAAACCGGTTGACTTTTGGATACTCACGCCATCTATATTGGAAATGCTGAAACTTATGGCGTTTCTATGGAAATTTATTTTATCACAGGTTGGTATAGTGGCTATGGTTAAAGGAAACCTTTTTATTCAATATGGAAAAGATGTAAACTAAAAAAAAACAATTTCAATTATGTATAATTGCGCTTCTATTCCCATAATTCATTGTTTTATGGACAACGAAGTAATTCATCAATCTATCTTTTAATAAGTGGGAGTTCGCTTCTTTTTACTATATAAATAAAAACTTTATATTATAGAGTCATATTACAAGATGTGATTTTTTACTCGTTAAAAGATTTTAAAATTTAATCACTTTCTCTTTAAATATTATATGATAATGGAGTTTTCATTTAAATCGTTGAACAATGATTACGCTATTATCTGGTCAAGTATATAATTTCAATTAACAAAAATCAATTATTGGAATGCTACGATTGTAAGAACTTGTATTCAGTTGAAAATTTTAAACTCAAGATTTTCGTTTTTTGCGTTTTTTATTTGAAGACTCTACAGATACCTTCACTTTCTTAATATTGGAATAATAAAACCATAAAATATTTCATAAAAAAAGGCGCGTTTAAAATAAAACATCTTGCATTAGCCTTGTCCCTTTTTGGACATTTATAAATTTATTGTATTTGACATTGAACAAGGTTCACAAACAAACAAAATATGAGTTCATGGGCATCACTTTGAATTTAATTGACATGGGCTAGTTTTAAATGAAATAATAACGAGGCAAGTCGTTTAATATAATTTTACGCTCGAACAAATTCGATGAAGTTAACTAGATTAACTGATAATGTGTAGAATAATAGTAGGGGACTTTAATTGTAAAATGTACTATAAAAAAATCCAATACATCAAATATAGATTAAAATCAAATTGGATATTAAATAATTCCATAAAAAAGAAAGATATGTAAAAGTTGAGTAAAAAAATTGATAATACAACATTGAAAATATTTTAAAAATTCGACTCTATATTTTGCGGACATGAAAGGATCTTTATGTAAATGAGGATAACAAGCAATTCTCGTCACATTTAAGTACAAACTAGGTCAGCAACCCCCAAAAGCTCATACAAAAGCGAGTACGTAAGTTTAAAAGTGGAAAAAAAGAAGTAAAGGGGACGACGAAGAGAAAAAATAGAGGGTAGTAGGAAGTAGTAGTAACGCGAGCAAGAGAGGTAGTGGAAGCAGTAGTGCTAGCAAGTTTAGCTATTATATCACTGGGGTAGTCAAAATAGCAATACCAACACACGAGCATAGCTCGCGCACTCGAGCCGCAGGAGTGCAGTACGGGAACGACGCGCGGCGCTTTCTCTTCTATCGACCAGAGCCTGTATAGGGTGTACCCCACCTCTGTCGAATAACCCCCTCACTCGCTGCAGCGCAGCGTGGTATGCACCCCTCGCGAAAATCTAGTCCTAAAACGTCGCTCCTGGCAAAAAGACGATCCGCCGAGCGATAGGCAGCAACTCGTACGCACGCACGCACTTTGTACAAGCCGCATCCAAGCATTGTCGAAGAATGACAGCTGCAATTTGGCCACTGATAGCTAATAATTTTTACTATCGTATTTTTACTCGTGCAGGATCAGAGCTTCGGCTGAAAAATCGAAGAAGAAGGAGCTTTTAAACACAAACCCAGAGAGATGTCAAGAAGAAATATTTTATTGCGTGGCTATTATCTATCCAAGTGTCGTTATTATTTTTTCCGGAACGGCAGTAGTAGAAGGGAGCTCGACAAAGAGCCGTCGACATCATCATCATCATCATCTTCCTCATGATTGGTGATAGTAACTCCACAATGTCCAGTGCACTCGAGCAGCTTCATAATGCGCATTGCCGCTAACTTTACTCTCCAACGTCGAATCATCTCGCTTACACGTTAGGCTCGTCAGACGATGAAAAAGTGCTCGTTTTTTTGTGTTTATACTCTTCGATGCTGTTTAATTGCCGCACCACGTCGATTTTGCGTTTGCTCTTGAACTCAATGTATTGACAGCTATTTGGTCGTAAGTAGTTACGAATTTTTAGATTTTATTTTTTATTGTAAGGGCAAACATTTCGCTTTTTTAAGTTACTTATTATTTTTCCTGATTTCGTAATTCATTAATTTTAAGATTAAACAATTTATTAGAGAAAAAAAATTTGTTCATCTATTTTTATTTGTACTTATACGTAAGCACTGAATCGAATTTTTAATGATTATCAATGAAAATATTGTACGAATCTGTGGTCCAATAGTAGAGAAATTACGGGACTGTTTTATTAGAAAATCTTAGATACTAGTCAATTTCTATAAGTTTATGAGACAACAAGATGATAAAATTTCTGTAGTTTTTTCGCACATTTTGACATTCCTAGCCAAAAAAAAATTTATTTGAAGTAATTTAATGTTTGTAATGTGAACATTTATTAATCACCTGTTGAGTACACAAATTGTCAAGTTGATTTTCATTACAATTTCGTTGATAATGCAAATTTTTCCATTTGCCAATCTAAGTTTTTAGACTTTATTTTAGAGTAATTATTACTTATTTCAACGATTACTCGTACCCAAAATGTGTCAATAACTTAAAATTTCAATGATAAAATTACTTCTATAGAACTACGAAGGTTCACGTATCAATATTTTTTTTTACATTTCCTATCGGGTACAAGCATGGTATTGATAAAGCATTATATTGCATCGAATGAAAATATAATTGATCGTGTTACGCACATTAAGTCTGTGCAAGTGATTAGAAAATCACAAAGCAATTGGCATGCGCTTATAATACCTATATTATCGTCTCTACGCATACCGTGTAACGTGTTTACGTTCGGAATATGTACGCACGTTGCGAGACGTATATATAATGCAGATGGCTTTTGTACACAGCACGAAGGAGTGTTGAGTGAGGGTCAATATTAAAGACCCTTTCGTTGGCTTTATACGTGATTTAAATCAGTCGTTAACGCAGAATTTCGCTGGAGCCACGCGAGTTCCGTACACAATCGCATACACGCCAAAGGTAAAAGTAATAAATTTTCCAATGTTTTCTCGATCCCGCCTATACTGTGCTCTATTCGTGCAATTTGTGTTTACTTCGTTTGCTTGTAGTTCAAACACTATGCGATGCGGTCGAGCGATGCTTTGATAAGATAAACCGATAAAAATTCGAACGTGCATTATCTGAATTTGATGTGGATTTCCTAAAGGAAACCTAGATTTTTCGAGTGGAACCTTTCATTAGATATTAGCGTAGTTATAAAAAATTTTTCTTAAGATTTGGGTACTTAATTTTTTCAGTTTGCTTATATCATGCTTTTCTCAGTAATTTAAATTGTAAATTAATATTTGAACTTGTATGAAAAAAATTTGAAAAGTGTACCTCGAATGTATATGACTCGTTTGTGTATGCCTCGAAGTTTATGTTTCCACCAAAATTTAGAGATAAGTTTGAAATCGGAGACCAAACCAAATTACTGCGGTCGAACTATAATATTAATATATCAAAATGACCCGACGTACTGCATTACATTATCTTTGTATGTGAAATTTGACCCATTTAGCTCTGTAAGGCGTCAATGTTTATTAAAATTTTATCCAGTTTGTTTCAGTTTCGCTTGACTATAATTTCGAAAATATAACTGCCAAAGTGAAGTTGTTACTACTTTCATAACGCGAAAACTTTACCCTACTCGAAAATTAAAAAATTTATTAAAATGAAATAAAATCTGGAATCTTTATATGCAATTATTTATGCCGTCTGAAACTTTTTTTCTGTGAAATGTTGACCCAGATAGACTTTAGTGTTGAAAAAAATAGTAAAAATAAATTTAGAAACGATTAATTAACTCTTCAATAAAATCGTAAAAAACCATTTAAATAGTTGGAAACACTCATAAGTTGGAGCAAGGATCAATTCGTATAAAAAAATTCGTAATGTACACACGGAAAAGTTAAATAGACCCCCGGTGTAAAATAAATATATGAATTATTAGATTAGCAGTGAAATTAAAAGTAATAAATAAATATGTCTTTATCGATACTTTAACGATTTTATTGATCATTTGTTGCGATGTTTTCCATAAAATAAGATAATCTTTTTCCACGACAGATGCAGACCGGCAGAAAATCAGTTAAATGACGATGATGAAATGGCGAAATCGTCGTTCGAAACATCCGTAGGAAGTCCGAATTACAAAGTAATCGGCGGAGTACGGCTGAAAAGATGGATAATCGGGCTGCTGCTCTTTTTATTGGCATCCTTGCTGGCAATCAACAGCTTTACAATCAGCCAATTCCATTTGATGCCACTTGGAACGAGTCCAACTGCAGGTATACACGTAGCGCTCGATCGGCACACATCGCTCGCTACGAAGTACAAAATGTGTACCGTGGTGCAACAACAGCGCATCCATCCGCTAATCGTCTCGTTTTTTTTTTGGCGCGTTTGCCCAGGTAATTACATCCTCGAGTTGAAAAGTCAAACAACGCCGCGGGCCGCTGCCGCCGTTCGGGACGGTTACGTCGTCTACACCCAAGGCTGCCGCATACCCGATCTCAGCCCGTACGAGGCGTCGAACGCTCGATACTTCGATCAGCCCCAGCCGATTGTTTGCGAGCACGGCAGTCAGCCGCCGCTCGTCGAGTCCAACAATAGCGCCGTTTACGTGAATCTCGAGGCCAAGCAGTTTTACTACAACGACACCGAGAGCCCGGAATGTTGCTGGCGGCGCTTCTGGCGTAAGGACAACAAAGACGACGAAGTCAGGTACGTAGTGCAGCGCAACTTTTTCCTCGACACCTCGTACCAATAACATTTCTGCGTGTATTGATACTTTGTTTTTTTTTTTTACCCAGTATCAGCGATGACTGCTACTACTTCCAGGACTCGTCGTTCGTCGACGCGGAATTCGTCCGAGTGGAGTGCCAGCGTCGCAACGCCACCATCTATCGGGACTACTTTGCCTTCGTGCCGCGAAAGCTGCACGTGGAGGAGCGATGCCGGAAGCGGCTCCGGGACTCGGCTCGCGCCGGATCGCCCAGGAAGCTCAGCGTGCTCGTGGTCGGCATCGACTCGGTGTCGCGGCTCAATTTCCATCGCGCCATGCCGCGGACGGCGGAAAAACTGCTCGAGCTCGGTGCGCTCGAGATGCTCGGTTACCACAAGGTAGCCGACAATACCTATCCGAATTTGGTGCCGGTGCTCTCGGGCCTCGAGCAGAGGGAGTTCGAGAGGCTGTGCTGGAAAAATCACAAGAGGCCCTTCGACAGGTGTCCCTTGATATGGAAAAACTTTCAGGCCGCTGGTTACAGGACCTTCTTTGCCGAGGACGCTTGCTACATGACGACCTTCAATTATCTCAAACCGGGCTTCAGGTATGTTTTTCGATGACTCTTCTTTATTAATTATATATTTTTGTCAATTATCTTACAAACTCTTCTCTTTTTCTCGTCAGAATTCAACCAACGGACTATTACCTGAGGCCGTTCTGCGTAGCCGCGGAGGCAGAGATCGGCAACACCCGCAAGCTCAACGCTAATCTGTGCCTTGGCACACGCATGAATTACGACTACTTGCTGCACTACACGCGCAAAGTCGCCGAGGAATTCGCTTCGGATCCGTTCTTCGGCCTATTCTGGGAGAGCAGCTTGACTCACGACTTCATCGACTTTCCCCGCCTCGGCGACGACTCTTATCGGGACTTTTTCGCCTACTTGAAGGACAACGATCTACTGAGGGACACAGCCGTCGTATTCATGAGCGATCACGGCATGAGGTGGGGTCACTTTCGGCAGACCTATCAAGGCAGATTGGAGGACAGTCTGCCCTTTGTATTTTTTCTCATGCCCGAGTGGTGGAAAGAGGAGTATCCAGAGGCTTGGCAAGAGTTGAATAGGAACGCAAGGAGTTTGACGACGCCGTTCGATTTGCACGAGACCATCAGAGACATGATGGATTTGAGCAGGCTGAAGTCCAAGGTGAGATATTGCAATCGAGTGCTGGGGAGATGACTTTATTTTAACTTATATTACCCACGAAATTGCAGCAGCAGCAGCAGCAGTCCAGCAACGAAGTAAATATCCCATCATCCCCTAGTCCGAGCAAGAGCAGCAAAGTGCCGCGAGGTATCAGCATGTTCGGCCATATCCCATCGACGCGCAGCTGCGAATCGGCCGGTATCCCCGAGCACTGGTGCATGTGTCGGATACGCAACAGCGTCAACACGAACGACACGAGGGTCGTGGCGACCGCGGAGTTTCTCGTGAGCGAGCTCAATCGCATGCTCGAGCCTCACTCGCCGAAATGCGCCAAGCTCCAGCTCGCCAACGTCGTAGACGCCAAGGCGGTGAGCGAGCAGCAGCCGACGAGCAGCAGCAGCAGCAGCTCGAGCGAGTCGAGCTCGACGACGACGACGACGACGCCAGCCCCGGTGTCCGCGCCCTGGACGGATTACAGCGTGACCTTCGAAACTAGTCCGGGTGGCGCAGTGTTCGAGGCCTCGGTGCGTTACCACATCGAGACCGGCCACGTCGATCTGGTCGATACCATCAGTAGGCTCAACGCCTACGGCAATCAGAGCTCCTGCATCGACGATTTTCACATGAGACTCTACTGTTACTGCACGTAGTATCGTTCGCGTAATGTGTTCGTGTATGTCGCAACGCGAGTGATATGCGCATACATCCTATGATTTTTAATTTATTTACAAAAACTACATTTTCAGCCTTGACGGCTGAATTAGCCAAGATTTATTATATTTTCAGGAAATGGTAGCAGCATATACGCGATGTAAATAAACATTATATTTTTTTAAATCATTTTTATCGTTCAGCAATATATGATAGCTATATATACAAAGTTTTAACGCTCCATAAGAATTGTTCGAGATAATTCTGAATCTTCCCGAAAATGATCCTTCGGAGATCGGTAACTCTGTATACATGAAAATATACCGTCGATACATTTTTTACGTAATTTTACGAGATTGCTCTAAATAAGTAGCTGAAGATGTTAGTGATTTCAAATTCAGAATTTTAAAAACTTCAAATATTCTATCCAATATAAGCAATTTAAACAGGTATGAGCAACTATTGAAATTAACGCGTTCCTGATCATTTTCCTGCTGGTATAATTAATATCGTCGTAATTAATCATGGTTGCTATATAGAATTTTAATAAACTTATTTGATAGACAAAGTTATGATGCCAAAGTGTAAATGTAATATTTTCATGAACTTTTTACGCCATCGTACGATTACAAAGTAGAAATAAAGAAATTTAGAGCCTTTTATTTTTTTTCCAACGAGGCATGGAACAGACATCCTCTACGTAAACAAGCAGTATGCGTAAATATTCATAAAAATTTAGAAAATTGTAATTTTACTTGGCACAAAATCTTATTTTTTTTAAATAATGTACGCGCAACGTATTGGTAAATTTTTTTGAAATACCATAATAGACAACATTCTATGAGTTGTCATTCACGTACGATTATTATGAGTGCGATATGAGCGCTTGATGCATGGATTGATGATATATTGTATGTTATAAAGCCTGTAATTGTGATATTTTTTAAAAGCCATGTGCATAAACAATCATACGATGAATCGTATACGCAGGTGAAGCTAAATATTTTTACATAAAAATGCTTCAATAAAAGATATATCATTCTCTAGATATAGGTTTTAATAAAATCTGATGAAAACAAAACAATTTCAAGGCTTACCGAAAGAAGCAAAATTGAGAATACAAATTTCCTAAAGTTTTTCAAATCACTGCTGAGTATTTTTAAAAAAGCTACGAAGAATGACAAATATATAAAAAATGCACAGCATTAATGTAATTTGTTTTAAAAAATATTCAATCAAAATCTCATAAAATTATTAGAAAATTTTAATTTTCAACTTATTTTCGGTGTCTGCGTAAATAACTAAATATAAACGATTTTGAAACTCAAACACTAGTAGATAATATTACGAGCGCAGAAAATGTTTCTTGCAAAGTATACTATTAATTTGTAAGTAGTCACATAAAAAATCTTTAATTTTATTTCAAATTTAGTAGGAAATATTTTGTTAAAAGTGCAAACCTTGTTTTTCCAAGTCTACGAAATACTTAAAACATTCCAATACTTTAATTTGGGAAAATAAAAAAATTTGGTCACAAATATTTTTCATTCTAATCATTCCATAAATTGGATGAAAATCTGATAAAATTACATTCAAAGTAAAAATAATTTCATCAGTTTAGTAATAAATAACAATGTACCTATAATTATTTTTGTGGGAGTCAGCAACAGTGCATTCGGTGCATTTATTTTACATAATAAAGCTTGTTTCATAAATTAATTACAGTCATTGCTTGTATTTTGTATAGTTTTTATCCTAGCTCTGGTTATTTAAACGTATATAAATTAAATCACAAAAAATGTTTAATGACAAAAAGGAATATGGATTGGATCTTTAATATAAAATTGATTAAGTAACACTAGTTGACTCTTTCAACTTACTCAAAATAATTCGATTGCTACAGGAGACTTTCATTGATACTTCTCAATAGTCGGGTGGAATTTCTACGGAGCTTAACGTTCGTCGCTGTAAGTTCATGCTGAAGGATATTTTGTAAAACGCACCTTGACACAATCTCAGTGAAAAATTGAGTCAAAATGAATTTGAATAAATAAAACATATATAATACGTGGCTCAAACGATTGCACATTTTTAATTGGAAGTGTATAAAACAATAACTCTCGTGACAATCTAACTATTGAAAGGATTTTCTTACAGAAAATGTAAGATATTCACAATTCACAAATATTACAATGCGAAAAATTCTTGTTTTCAAGCATTTACAAAATAACACACACTTATAATTATTTACAGACAACATAAAATTTGCTTAATAATCATTAAAAATTGATGTACAATTTATGCAGCTGGATCAACCTCAATGTTGTTTGTAAAAAAAATGGAAACATGCAGTCTTCATTTTAAATATATTTTCCAGCTACATCCAATTCGATGAGACAATTTTTTTCATTGACGGTTTGAATCAGCGACGCGCCGTAATAGGCGAAAAATTGTTATAATTAACCAGTGAACAACACCTTAAAAAGTACTGTATCACGATTAAAATTATTTTTCCTAATGTGAGAACAATTTATTCCCCGTGAATTCCATTATATATTCTATTAATTGAACTTTGATCGAGCAATTTTTTAATATCTGAAAGCAAATAGTTTGGTTTAAAATTAAATTAGGACTTGTAAATTTGATAGACATGTACATCGTTTTATAGTTGCTTACCTTCTTTCTCTGAGTCTGTTAGATCTTTTTCTGGGAATGCAACATCGAAAGTAATGTATAAATTTCCGTGAAGATTGTTGTTTTCATAAAACGGCATTCCTTCTCCTTTCTTACGCATTCGTGAACCAGGTTTGGTTATTTTGTCTCGCTGAACTTGAACTTTGTGTCCATCTAAATGAGGGATTTCCAATTCAAAACCAATCAAAGCATCTTGAAGTGTAATGGTTACATTGGTGTATAAATCATGTTCTTTCCTCTCAAAAATTGGATGAGGCTGTGTTTTAATTCTGAAAAATTACAAAAAATATTTAATTACTAAAAATATAACAACAATATTTCAAAAAATATTGTTTTTCCAGAAAAATACTCCAGTTAAGAATTAAATAAATGTTCAAAGCTTACTTTACTATTAAATCTCCAGGTTCTCCATCTAAATGTGGTTCACCCTCTGCTGTAAATTTGGTCTCTTGTCCATCTACCATACCTGGTTCAATTTCCACCTCAAGTGTTCTTTCCTCATTAACAAAAACTACATTGGGACACTCAGAACAAACTGTTTGTTGAGTCATTTGGAATCTTCCACTTCCTAAATTACGAGTGACTAATTCTTGTCTACAATTACATTTTCTTGTTCCACTTGCTTGTTTCATTACTGGTTTATTTCTAGTAATCTGAAATAAAAATTTAAAAATAAAATTAAAACAATTCATTCATTGGAACTATCTGTAAAACCCCACAAAAAAATACAAACCTCTACAAAATTCCCACTGTACAATTCTTCTAAAGTTACACTAAGATCAAAGATAACATTTGAACCTTTAGGTGTTTGGCGTTCACCACGATGAGATCCACCATCACCAAAGAAGTCAAAATCTCCAAAGAAGCTAGCAAAAGGATCTTGACTGTTCATCATTCCATCTTTCTTCAAACATTCTTCTCCACATTTATCATACAATGCTCTCTTTGATTCATCGGATAATACTTCATAAGCAGCTCCAAGATCTTGGAATTTTTGAGATGCTTCTGGATCATTTTGATTTTTATCTGGATGCAATTCTTTGGCTAATCTTCTGTAAGCTTTCTTAATGGCATGAGTACTAGCACTTTTTGATATTCCTAGGATACCATAGAAGTCCCTCCTAAGTAAACAACAACATTGTTGAATTTTAATGAAGAAAAAATAACTACTTTAGCATATACTTCTTTAAATAGAATAATTATTAAAAAAGTACAAAAATAAAATATTTTTAATCATTAATTTATCTTATAAAAGAAAACAGACGCCGAAGTGAAAGATGTTTACAACACCCAAAGGTTATGGCGAGCTTATCGGCTTGAAAAAATAAACTTACGGATACTTAACAATTGTCATATCAAAAGAAAATGAAAAAAAGACTTACCCTGCCAAACTGACAGTTAGACATAACGCTAAATTCAATAAAACTATGTAAAAAAGTTTGTAGCCTGCCATCCTAGCAGACGTTCAATGAAAGCCCGACAGCGTTTGGGTCGTGGTAAAAGCCGATTGGCTCGCCAAGCTACAGCAAAAATATCTATATGTATTCGGCTTTGAGCCTGCTCGTGTAAAATAGCGGCCTGTGAAACAACGTCAGTGATGATGCGGCAGAGCTGAGTTGCTTCATTTCCCGTGCCATACATACAACATGCCGTGATATGTGATGTAAACTCGACTAGAAGTCCGTAACACGTCATCCGATTATACAGTGTGTAAGAATACACACTAAATGTGGCTCCTTTAAACTTCAATTCGTGACAGCTGTCATCGAGTATAGGGAATAGCTTTGCACATGGATGCATGTAAAGCTTTTTTTTATCTCGAATCAATTGATAATGAAGGCAATGCCATTTGAATGTGCTTTTGTCATGTGTTCATTAGATTGTGAATACCCAATGTTCCAAACATTATGAATAATGAATGGAAAATTACAAAAGAGATCGTTATGAAAGGTGCAGAAATTTTGAAAATATGATGCGCGATTCTTTTTGAAGCTTCAGAGGGCCAAAAAGTCGCAGGCCAGCAACTCGTAAGTCGTATCGGCATAAGACGTGTTTCGACGAAATCAGTTTCGTGGACTTCTTCATCCGCACATGACAGCACCTTGGCTTGGCTCCGTGTTAAAATCCAAAGCGCTGAAATTTTCGCGTCCCAAAACTTATCAGCAGAGGGCGCCTCGCGGATCGTCTATGTATGCGAAAAAACATGCAATTTCTAGAATGTCGCAAAAATACACTTAGGTTCGAGTTCGACGAAAAAGTTTTGCTGCCTGCTGTACGCTGCGTATATGACTGTGTGTAAATAGCACATATTTCGCCCGAGTTTTTGTATAGTGTAAATATCATTAAATGCCTGATCGGGCTTATAATTTTCCAAGGTCTGCGTGAAAAATAATCAAATTTTCTTTATTTTCTTCTAGATGAATATCAGCGAGTAAAAGCACGAAATTTGCAATTCAACGTGAATCAATAATAAAATCTAGTTAATGATACAAAAATTTACGTGATATCTTGTGGTTTTGCTCTCAGCCGAAGAATACTGGATATAGGAATAAATTGAAAAACATATCGCAACACAAGACAGTGAATTAATTATTTTTTGCAATATTAACTGCTTATGAGCAATGATGATAATAGTAGTTAATTGAATGTTAACCTCCGTCATAGAAAACTTATGAAATAAAATAATCTTGGGTTATCTACAGGTAGTGGTTGATGAAAAGCCACTAAATATTGAAATTTTTCCATCATACCAATCATACCTAGCAAGCATAAAATAAGATAATCTTGAAAAATGGATAACGAAGGTGCAGGTTTAAAGAAAATCAGAGCCAAGCTCGATTATTGGCTGAGAAATGGACAATATTATCAAGCTCATCAGATGTACAGAACAGTTTATTTTCGATATATTAGGCAAAAAAGGTATTTAGAGCTTTTAAAATTACTACATCATGGATGTGAAAGACTTCTGTGTGAAAGACAATGGGCCAGTGGTACAGATTTAGGCATTTTGTATATTGATGTTTTGAAACATGGGAACATAAAACCAAATGTTTATTACTTTAAAATAATATCGAATCTATTTCGCATGATGGAGCCTTCTACAGCTGAAAGAGAAACATATGTACAGAAGTGTTTGCAGTGGAGTTCAACTGGTAACAATTATAAGAATGGTCATCCATATTTTCACAGAGAACTTGCTAGGATTTATTGGGATCAGAAAAATTTTTCCCTAGCCAAGCAACATTTCATGCAAACCAAAGATGGCGAAAGTTTGGCTTTAATGTTAATTGAACTTCAGATTGAACATGGATATTCATATGAACTTGACATCTTCGTAGCTCAAATTGTGCTGCAGTGTCTTTGCTTACAAAATAAAGTAGCAGCAATTGAAGTATTCAGTACATATGTTAATGAACATCCGCAAATACAGAACGGACCGCCATTTATTTTACCATTACTTAATTTTATATATTTTCTATTGAAATCTATTGAAACAAAAAAATTATCAGTGTTTACATTTTTATGTGAACAATATAAATCATGTTTATCAAGAGACCAATCATTCAGTGAATATCTTGAAAAAATAGGTCAAATATACTTTGGTATGAAAACTGCGAATCCTAACAGAAGAGGATTGTTAGGATCATTTATACAATCAATATTCAATGGCTTAGAAGAAGATGATCTTGATGATAAATAAAATAACATTGAGTGTCTAAATAATAATTGTAAATAAAAAATCACTAAAAAGAATGATCTTTTTTTTAAATCCTACAAACAAAGATCTATTGAATTAAAAATTTTACTATTAATTTACAAAGATGCAAAAGAGACTATAAGCAAATTAACAGTGTTAATTTAAATCATGTGTAATTAACTTTTCTTTTTCCTTAAAATAAAACAAACTTAAAATTTCGTTTTGTTTTTCTGACGAAAGTCTAATCTAAATTTGACAAATATGACCTTGAAAGTATATACTGTAGATATTCTACACTTATAAGATTGCCTTCTTTATAGTTAAGAAAGCATGTATACAAAAATGACTTATGTAGCCATATAGTAGCTGTTGTAACTAGTTTTACTTTTTATTAAATTGTTTTTTTATGTTTATTTATTTAATTTTGTTAGTATAAATAAATTTATGAATATACTGGTAATGTAAGTATTTACAGGAATTAATACTTGGGGATATTTTTAAAATAGTTATTGATAACCTAAATTCCGCAGGTCTAATGTTATTGAAATAAATAATCACAGGATTGTAACTGAATTTAATAACGAAGAAAACGAAATAATTAAAATTGCACCCAAAAGTTATAATGAATTTTTTGAAAATTTTTTACTACCAAATAAGCCTTGTGTTTTTGATGCTCAAATTACCACAAATTGGCCAAGCAGAAATGACTGGAAAAACAATGATGAACCAAATTTTGATTACTTAAAATTACAATTTGGTATGTAAACATTTTTACTACCTCATAATTAAAACACATTTAACTATCTATGTTCTTTTGAAGGTGATTGTCAAGTTCCTATTGCAGATTGCAATAAGCGAGTGTATAATGCTCAATGTAAAAATAATATGTCCATAAAAGAGTATATTAATTATTGGATTGATTATCAAAAGTGCAATTACTCAAACCAAATGCCTTTATTATATTTAAAAGATTGGCATTGTGTCAATTCGAATACAAATATATATTTTTATGAAGTGCCGCAATATTTTGCTTCAGATTGGTTAAATGAATATTTTATAGCGCATCCAGATTTAAATGATGACTACATGTTTGTTTACATGGGGCCTAAAGGATCTTGGTAAATTTATAAATTTATGATAAATTAATGAACACAAATTTTTATATTGATCGTTTAATTCTGTAGGACACCATTACACGTTGATGTGTTCACATCTTACAGCTGGTCTGCTAATATTGTTGGGAAAAAACGCTGGTTGTTTTTCCCTCCTGATCAAGGAACTTTTTTAAAAAACAAAAATGGAGATTTAATTTATGATATTTCTACAGTTCAATTAAATGACAACAGCAATAATAATAACAATGATTTTGATAATAACTGCACGAATGAAAAAAATATAATGAAAACACCTAAAAGTATTGAAATAATTCAAGAGTCTGGACAAATAATTTTTGTACCATCTGGATGGTACCATCAGGTTTGGAATCTAGTAAGATCATAAATTTTTAACATAAAAATTATTTGGAGTGTAAAACTTTCTATTAATTTTTTAATTTTACCTCCAAAATTGCAGGAAGACACTATTTCTATAAATCATAATTGGATAAATGGTTGCAATATTAGAAAAATATGGGCTGCTCTGCAAAATGAATTATTAGCTGTTATGAAAGAAATAGAAGATTGTAAAGATATGGATAACTGGAATAACCATTGCCAGATAATGTTAAAAGCTTCCTTTGGAATAAATTATATACAGTTTTATGAGTTTTTGTTATTCATTGCTGAGCAACGAATTCAATCTGTGATAAATAATGTGCCTTTGGTGAGTTTCAAAAAATGGTCACTAGGCCGCAATCATTGTTTGTTTGATCTCAGACAAATTCGAAACGTACTGCAAAGTTTTATAGAAGATGTTAAAGAGAAAAATATTAGTAGCTTAGTTTTTAAAAACTATAATGTTGAAGATTTGATTTTAAGAATTGATGAGAGTTTAAGTATATGATTGTTTTATTGAGAATTTTATAAACTCTTTGATGATGTTAAAAATAAATATGAGTTCTATGATTAATTGAACAAAATGACTATTTTTTATTTGCCATAAAAATTGTCGTGCAATATTATACTTGACTAATATTTCATAGTTTGCTATCACTTTGAATATCACACACGTATAAAAAATTTTTAATAGATTTCTGAAACTTCATTTGAAATTGTCAGTAAATTAGTTGAATTTGATTCACCAGTAATTATCATGATAATTCTTAAAATATAAACTTTTTAAAACACCTATCATACTTTTATAATTTGAATTTTGAAACAAAGAAAATAATGTATTGAAAAATTAACTAATTATTACAGTTGAATGAACAGGCTTGTATGAATTATAAAAAAGGAAATGATACAATCTAACAAAAAATGAAAGAGAAATTCACGTCGGTATAATATTTATATTTACACTATACTCTTCTTATTTACATTGTATCATCCTAATAAAAATGTACAAAACCTATAAGAGATCTCACAGATAATAATTTTTTGCACCTTTGTAAGTTGCATATTAGATAGTTCTCTATTTTTTCCTTCAAAATATAGTATTTATAATATGCTACTTGCACATTTAAATTAATGTCTAGCAAATAATTATTTTAAAAGCATGGGATCTATTATAATATTCGATAACGATAAGTTCTTAAAACTAATCTATAAATAAGTTCTTACATCAATTAAGGAATTATTATTTACATATGTGAACTACTTCCAATATCGCTGTCCATTATTTTGTAGTTCTCAGCAATATTTCACTTTTAATTTAATCATTGTGATATGCCGTTTTAAATTTAAAAAATATATTTTAAAGGTAGAAAAAATTTGAAAAATTTGAATTAAAAACAAATCTTAAATATTGAATACCGAAAAAATCGCCAAGATTGAATAAATACTTGCAAGTTAATTTTCTGAATATCGGAAATATCGATAACTTATGTCATTTCTTACATTACCAGAAATTATTTTGTACATTTTTAATTACAGTTCATCTGGGCACATAGTTCCTTACATGATAAATATATCCTTGATTTTACACATTTTGAAGAATGAATCTTAAATAATTAAAAAAATTAATTAGATAAATAATTCAACTCTATTTTCAATAATTATATTACTTATTTACAATAACTTATGACATAGCATACCAAAGCAGTTGAGCCTATCATTAATGATCAAAACGATTAAGTGATGCTTGATTTTCATTGTTAAATTAGCAAGTGATCATGAATGAATGGTCCAGCAACTTTCTCTCGCTTTCACTTATACGCAAAATTTTCAATTTTTAAATTAATAATATAATACAGCAACGTATGATTCAGGCACATTATAGTTGTGCATTTTCATTTGTATGCACAAGGAAAATGCATGGAATAATTGAAGACAACATAAAGATAATTGCAATTTAATTTTTCAATTGATTAAAATATTATCATTTTGTGCTCAATTCATACACACATTTTTTGTGCATACAAAAAATATTGATAACTACAATATGACTCTGAGATACCTTGCTAATGACACAACGTCTTATTTCATAACATACCTATTCTAACTTCCTATAAATTTCTATTCAAATTGCAACTTTATCATAGAAGGAGATCTGTTTTATTGACTTTTAAAATTAATTAAAATTTTGCTGAAAGTGCAGTGATGTATTTAATTTTAAGAATTATTTTTATTAGTATTTACTTTTATGAGCGCTGTCGTTATTATAAAAACGACAGGATATTTTTCATCGTTTCATCGTTTCAATTTTATCTTTCATAATTTAGTAAAGATCGCAATACTATATATCTTGATTAAACAAAAATAAATTACGTTCAAGAAACCTTTTAGAAAATCATATAGAATATTTCAATAGAAATTTAAACCTTTAGTAAAATGTTCGGGAATGACGGCTAATACCTCACTTATATTCAAAGAAAAAATTGAATAAAAAAATTTCAACAAGATTGGACAATTTTAGACTAATATTATTTTATTCAAAGTTTTCCCGAAGCTGCGTCGGCCTCGTGAATCTCTCTTGAAACTTTCCGATGAGGCTAACGTAGTTTCAGCAAAATTTTGAATAAAATAATATTAATAATCTAAAGCTATCTAAATTGTTTACATTTTTTATTCATTTTTTTCGTTGAATCAGATCGAGGTATTGATCTATATTGCCGAATATTATAACAGAAAAGTGAAACACAGAAGGTATTATGAATTTTGAAGTAAATTAAAACGTTACTATTGAGAATAAATAACAACTTTTTCTCTACACTTTCCGCTCTTCAAGATTAAACGAGAGAAAATTGCTACACTAGTGTACGGTAAGACGGATATCGATCAGACAGAATACACATTTCATCTCTCATTGATCTCCTTCTCTATATCATTGATAGACGTGACAGAACCACGAATGTAAGTCTCGTCTCAGATATCGTGAGAATTCGTTATTGTCGCGTTGGCCGATGAACTAGGGCTAGACAACGCCTTGGGCATTGGCCCCTGCACGGGTAGTGGTGAGGAGGCTGCGCTCATGATCGCACTGGGTGTTGTTGTGATTGGAGCCAGAGTGGTCTGACCCACTGGTTGCTGCATCGGAGCTTGCGTACGTGCCGGTATTGACGAGGGAGGTTGGCGTGGAGGAGAAAGCAATTCTTGACGATCGCGTTCGCGCTCTTTTCCTGGCCTCCAGGCCTCGAGCAGAGCCTCAACTCGTTCTTCGGTCGGCCCCCATTTCGCATGGCCAGCTGGATTTTGGAGCCACACCACAAGTGTACCATGAACTGCTCTGATGTTTAATTCTCCCCTGGGCATAGACCGACTGGTTTTAAAAAAGTACAAAGTGCCTTTAACACCTCCAATATTATTCAATAGCTTATAGATTATTTAATACATACTTGGGAAGAACATGCTGTAAACCGTTTCTGTACTCATGTTCCATTGCGGGCACTACAACCTGCTTTCTTTTAAAAGGACTAGCTTCTAGTTTCAGTAGTGCATTGGGAGGCGGATCTCTCCATTCTGGTAGAAATACTATAAATGACAATGGTTCAGATGAATCTGAAAGAACACTTTCTATGTGTGTGATCATTGCATCCATCAGTTCCTCGCAATAAGGAGGATTTACTTGAAAACTCCCGCTGACCGGCCTAAAGTCATTAAAAGGTCCTCTCGAGCCAAAGTAAGAGTCTGTATCGGCGAATGCCGAGCAAAATTGTTTAAAATAACAATTTAATGGAGACGCAAAACACTCAAATGTAACTCCGAATGAGCGTTGAAGACTTTCAAATACCGTTACTGGCAATGCCATTTGTGTTGCTTGACTATCTGTACTACCTAAGTAAGTTTGATAACGCTTGAGCAAGCACCAAACTCTGGGTATAAATAGGTCGAATTTTCGATCATCTGAACAGTTAAATCTATAAAGATATTCTAATTTCGTCAAGTAATGAGTGTTGATGCACATTCCTTCATTATGATATCGTAACATTGTTTGATCTCCCTCGTGGTTGAACTCAATCTGAAAACATAGTATTATATTAATAACTTCCATATTTGTTGATTTTTAAATGATTTTGAACATTTAAGACTGCGTGAAAAAATAATTATTTTACCACTGGAAGCCTTGGAGATTGACGAGAAAATTGTACAGAGTAGCACCAAACTTTACGATTTGTATTAACAGAAGCTACTGATTGTTCATTAATGTTGTGCTCTTTTGCAATCTGTTCATTTTTTTCTTTCACTTTTTTTGCATATTCTTTAGACAAATGATAAATTTTTAAACAGATACCCTCCACACTTGCTTTCACAGTTTCAGTTAGATGAGGTTGACACTGGCGTTTCAAATGTGTTAGACGATCTTGAAAATCATCAAACGTAGCACCAACTGTTCTTCGCAACCACTGAAATGTATCTTCTGCGTTCCACTTAACTACTTTTCTACTTTCTGATGAAGCATCTCTAGATTCAATCACTTTTTTGGCAGCTTCTGCATATCTAGACAGCTGCTTTCTTGCATCACCAGTAAATTTAGGTCTTATAAGTTTAATAGGGATATCGTTCATTATTTCACGATACATAGACATGGAAATTTCAGGAAAACAAGAGCTGGGTAGCAAAGGGTCACTACCTAAGTCTATCACCTTCCTTTCCATTAGCCAACGATTGAAAGATTCTTTTGGTGCATCTATACCTTCTCTAGAGTGACATAGTTCTTGATAGCACTGTCTCAATTTGGCTAACAAATTACATCTCAATAATTCAACATCTGGATGAACTTGGTAGAGGTTCGTAGGAGCTCTTTCGAATGTAATTACATTGGAACCAATTTCTAAGTCCCATGGTCCTCTAAACATAAAATAAAAAAGTAAGGAAAGAGAGATTTCAAAAGTTTAAGCAAATAGGCAAACCTACGCTAAAAATAATTTTTTTGTAGCAGGCATCGCAGCAGCATCTTCAGATGCCCTTCTTTTAAGGGGTCCTCCAGGTGTTCCAGGAGGAATCATTTGACCATTTCCATGATGAATTGCCAAAGGATCCATGTGAGGGTCAAACTTAAAAAAAATGTATCAAGAGTTAGATATAAAAACCAACATTGATTAAGATATTTGTGATTGCTTACTCCTGGTTTTAATGGAGGCATGACCCATAATGATTCTCCACTTAATTTATTCCAAAAATAGGGCCTGTTCTCTCTTTTACTCCAGAATTTTTTCCATCCTTGTGCTTGCAACTCAACTGATAATTCCTCTGCATAATTGATCATCGGTACACCCTGGTTACAGGAAATAAATTAGTACTAGTTAATTAGTACTTACTAAAATAACATGATTATAACTTACAGGTCCCACCATTACTGGTTGCTGCATGTGTGGCATAACATTGCAATGATCTCCAGTTATGGGAGGTGTTGTCATGATTGGTGGCTGTAATTTAATTGGTGTTGGTATTATCACCTGCGTAGCAGGTTGGTCAGATTCTGGTGTCATAGGAGGATTGATGTGATGCATCGAAGCAATCGTAGTCACTGGTGTATTCATCATGGTATCCCAAGCTGAGGTATTAGACATGTCTTGTTTGTTTGTATTGATTTTGTTCATCATTCACAAGTATAATAAAATTTCTAAAATAATCATAAAATTTCAATCAATTATTGAATCATGGCATGGTACATTTAGAGAAAAAAAGATAGAAGCACTTTTAAAATCGCAAAAAGAAAGCACGCGGAAGTTAATTATTAGTAGCAAGGGGTTGCAAAATGTTGAGCAGATGTATATCAATGAATTTTCAATAATAAAATAAATACAAGTACTTGACTTGAAAAAAAGCGCGAGGGCCCATGCAGTTTATGTAAACACGATGGAAAAGCACGGAGTTGCGTCGCAGGTTTACACATCAAGACATCGAGTGGAAATGAAAACAAATTAAGTAGCAGTCGGTATAGCTTATACGTTGAAGTTAGACTGTATATGTACTGTGGATTGGCCATTGAACGCTCGGATCATTTGTTTACAATGCGTTCGAGAGAAGCGCGCGTGCATGTCATGTATGCAGTACACCGCAAGCACACATCATCTTTCGTGTATATATATAAGCACATATAGATGCAATGCATACACATACACACAATAGCAACAACAGCCGCGGGCTCGGTCGCACGCGCGGATCGTGTAGACTGCAACACAAAACTTTTATATACAACACTTTAGCGCGCACACGTACGCACTTATACAAAGAGTGGAGCGAGACAAAATAAATTTGCACGGATTAGTCGATCGGGTCTGCGAAGGTCCACACACGTATTAGGGCGATTGCCAAGCGTAATTATTGAATGAAAAACACAAGCACTTGGAAGCTTGACATACTCACTTTCGACGTTCTATCAGAAATTGCCGGCAGAAATCATAATTGTCGGAGTGATTCATTCATGATTTCGTGCACAACTCGAGCGAACGGACTCCACCTCCGCGACGCCATTTCCCTCGCAAGACTGATGCTACGGTCTCACATTTGGAGCCGCGCAGATGTGTGTTGCATATATGTATGTATGTATATCCGACTATACATAAGCAGTGTATAGTTACGTGCTGGTGGCATAACACATATACAAGCGGCGAGCGCCACTCCGTTGGTGACGCGCGACGCGATACGACCTCTGCCGGTCGATTCGCTCGGAGTCGACGTCTCGGCGGATAGATGACGCGATTTTCTGGCGGGCTTGTCTACTCTGCACTGATACACGTGTATTTTCCGATTCTCTATCAGAAGCGTGACGGGACGTTTGCCAACTTCTATCGTGCTGCTGTATCGATTATTGAAAAAGTCCACGTGGTTCCTTCGACTTTCGGAGCGTTTATTGAATTGAACAAAACAAGTTCTATGTCCTACATGAAATAAAAATGGTAAAAAATTTGTTTTACATATAATTGTTTATACAAATTCAATCTAAAATTTTGCCCTCACATACTGGTTTTTATGGCAAGGAGCCTTTTGTCATGGAAAATTATTCTTATTATATTTCTCGCTATCAAACTGATTTATTTTTCGACCAGCTTGACAGCTAGTAGTCAATGCTAACATTTACTTATCATCAAAATTAATTTATGCTAGAGAAATTATCATACAAAAATTGTTTCATTTAAAATAATTTTTTGAACATTTTTAAGAAATCTCATACCTCAATTTTCGCGATAGATCAGTCGGACGAAAGTCTGAAAAGAGGCGGTTACGATAGTCTTTAGCTCAGATTTTTTATCATTCTCTACGACTTTCCGAAGTCTATCTAAGTTAATCGTTGATATAGCTGAAGCGGAGGTGCTAACAGCGCCTAATTTTCTCTATTACTCATGATCGACACCTTGTGTTATGGCCATCTATAATGTAAAAATGATAAAAACTTCATAAAAACTTACATGCTATAGTTATAGTTTCCTGTAACACGAAATAAATTATTCATCTATGAAATGAATTAAAAAATTTACTCATCACTTGATAAAAAAATTCATAAAATAAAGGAACATATCTTTAAAAAGATTTTGGATACACAGATTTCACGCGGTTCACTGGATAATTATTAAAAGTCACTATACTTTCGTTTCATTCAAATGTTCGAAATTAAACGACAGATCAATTTGATGCAATTAATGTAATATCAAACTCCGCATAGGAATTCACTTGCTCGTAGTCTAGACTCGAGTTAATTAGCTAAAAATATTAGTAATGGTAAATCGCGCCGTACAGAGAAAACATCTCTGAAAACTACTCATTATAAATGCTACGTATAAACGAAGTTGTTTCTGACGCATACTTATAATAAACACAGCGCGTCTGCTTATGTTTTTATTATTTTTAATTAGGTGTTGTTTCATAATATTATAGTGTAATCCTTCACTAAAGTATTTCACAATTATGCATGGAAGAATGTTGATGATATCGTACTGTTTCAAGTTGAAAAAAATGTATAAATAAAAAGTAAATCAAGATTTAAGAAATATGTTTGGTAATTTGAATTTTTTCCGTTGACCCGTTGAGCGATGTCGTCAAATCGAACCCGGTTCAAACCGATGGATTCGAAAATGTTCGCACCTGCAACCCAGTCTCCTCGTTCGTTCTGCATATACAATGCATGCTGCATCGCAGGCAGAGAAATTTTTCAAACAGAAGGTATAAGAGAGATAAGAAGTAGCGAAATAATCGCAGAGGTGCAGTGTGTGTGCAGCTGTGTGAGTTGCATGTGCGTGCGTGCGTGAGTGTACCCGACGTCGAGCGCATAAAAGGGAGAGAAAAAAAATAACCTTCTGTGTCTCGCGAGGCGAACTCCTCAGTCCTCACTCCGCATACGAGGAGAGCAGAAAAACGCAAGCAAGCAAGCAGAGTGGGGGAAAAGAACAGAATGATTTTATGAAGTTGTACCGCGTATGTGTGTGTGCGCGTGTGGCCAAAGTGGCAGGTAAAGTCACTCGGCCAGCTCCGCGCGTCGCAGACGTACATACACGCAGCACGACCCATGAGCGGCGGCCGTTGCCACAACAAAACACGCGCGCGAGCGACAGTCGCTGTCTAACTCGTCTGCGTGCGGAACGCGACGAAAATCCACCCGGCAACAATTCACATATAGTTTGATATGATAGTCTATAATCGCGACGATAAGTTACAGACGCGGGGCTAATGGCACGTCGATTCTTGACCTCTTGCCGAGCCTCTGTACACACAAGTCATCAAGGACTCGATGGTGAATCATTCGCTGCTGCTGCACTGTCCGTTATTGTCTAGATTCTATTAGTATTCGCAATGAGTGTCCCCCGTGCGTGCGTTCGAGTGCTACTGCTGTGCGCGATGTGTGCAAGTGCCAAGTGCTCGTAAGAGAGAAAGAAAAAACGCGAGTGCGCGCGAAAGCTTATACCGGTGCGGGCGAGAATCGTCCGTTCGAGCCGACGTCCTGCGCGATGTTTCGCGAGCGAGTCGAACGAGTGCACAATCAGAGCCGCGCGAGCCTGAAAAAGCAACTCGACGGTATCAAGCTTTGGTTCAATCAGGATGACTCGAACGCCTCGTCGACTTTTTACGTCGACTCGGATTACGAGTCGTTGAGCTTGAACAATAGCAAGGTAAGGAGACAATTATGCATGCAGCAAAAAAATCCTCTTTCTCGCTCTGTCAATTTTTATGCCGTGTGCAGAACGAACTTGTGCGCGCGCCAGTAGTTTTTATTTGGAAAAAAATCAAGGAAGCGAGCATTACGCGAGACATATACTCGACACAAATCATATGTCTTACAGTTATGCAACCCCTCGTGTATATCTGCCTAAGAACTATGTATAGCATTGGGTAGTTTACGCAAAAGACTCCGAATTTGTAAATGTATACGAGAATATCACGCGACCAGTTCGACGAACGAAGTGCGGAAAAATTTTCACATAAAAATTTTGCGACCTATCTTACCCGCCTTGTTCACGCAGTGTATAGAAAGTTCATAAAACACGTTGGACACGCAATCGGTGCGTTGGCGTGCCAAACTTAGTTTCGGCTTCGTGCGTATGATTTATACAATTGGTAAAATATTCGCTGACTGTATACCTTTTTTCATCCAAATGATCTAATTAGCTTATCGCTAAAATAGCTTGCACTAGTCTCTCCGAATGTTCGCTTGGACGCTATAACTGCACATAAACTAATATCTATAGTATTTGCATTGCAAATGGCATAATACGCAACGAGTTAGATAGTGTCTACGTATTTTTTTTTTCTTTCGAATTTTCCGCTAAATATCCACACAACTTTACGATACTTTCTCAACTATTCAATTGTTGGAAAAACTAAACCACTGCCCTACGTTCAGTGGAATTTAATCGAATTTCATAACTTGTCGCTGGCTTATCGTTCAGTTCCAAAGCACGAGATGTAACGCGCGAAGGTTATTCTCATCGACTAATGTACACATTGTAAACGCTCGATTCACTAATGTGCAAACATTAGGCATTCATAATTTTTTTCTTATTCTTTTACAATTTTTCTCTCCGGAGAGATAGCGCGGCGACGATAAGCGGCTCTGTTTGAACTGTACGAAACTGCGTGTGCCGACTACGCGCTCGAGACCGAATTCATAGATTCCCAGAAAGGTGCGCAAAAATTAAAATTTTCTTTTGCCCGAGATCGTTAAATTCTAATAAAGCCGAAGCAACTTTGAGAATCGGAAAAAATTTCTGACCAGACGGTTGAACGGGCCTCTACTCCTTTTTTTTATCTTCCACGACACACACACGCACGAAGATGGACGCGGTGTTTATACAGGTACAACGACACCTGTCGTGCATACGTAGACCAACACACAAGCGTCCGTGCACTTGGCTCGAAAAGATAACAATAAATATAACATATACAAAAGGAAACGCGCAGGCGAGCTATAGAGGATATAAATATATACATACACGAGAATCATATCCGTGTGCGCCATAGTTCGCGACGATGTTCGTGCCATGAAAGCGCAATAATATTCCGCCGTCGAGCTGATCTCTTACATACTTCTCTTCTACCACACATATACCTGCCTTTACATTGTTATGTACTTTTAAAGAAAGAAAGGGAGCCGGAAACGATATTATACTTACTTATGTTCGTGCTCGCCCCGATGCGTTCCTCGTACGTATGTATAAATGCTCGTCGCGAGTCGTTCGTTCTTTTACATGTGGAAGATACGAACGTCGTCGAGGCACATCCTCGCTACACACACGCACGCACGCTCACGCAAATTGTATTACAGGAAAAAAGCGGGTGGAAATTCGCTCTCTTCGGCTTGGCTAATTTCAGCGATCGCTTTAACGAGAACAAATGAAAGAAATTGGAAGTCTGTTGAGCTTTCGGTTAATAAGTAAGCACGAGCTTTTTTCCCTCTACTTAACGAATTTTACGTGCTATTCGCACACGTATAAATGAAGGCGAACGAAGCTGCGTACAAGTTAGATGGAAAACAATAAAGATTGCGCACGTGTACACGTGAAGGTAAAAAAGAAAAATAAAAAAAAATATTAGCCATAAACATCCCTTTCGATTGGCTTTTACTTTTTTCCCTCGTGCGCAGTTATGAGTGTAATACGAAAATAATGAGTATTGT